CCCAAACCCAAACCCAAACCCAAACCCAAACCCCAAACCGCAAGAGGGTGACCTTTTAAATTCCTGGAGACAATCTTAAAGCTCCTCCCCTCTAATTCCCGGTCGAGGCTAGATCCTCGGAGGAAGATGTACATTTACTATTGACTAACTGGAATTGCACAATATCGGCCTTCAAGAAATAAGATGAAATAAATTTGAATCAATAAAATACTAAACATTAAAGAAATTTTAATAACCATAAAAAAGTCTGCTTAGGGTTAAGATTACTAAATGAATTAGATGCAACGATAAAATTAAATAAATCAATAACAATCAGGATTTTTGTCCTATCAAAATATAACTTGATATATTAAAATATTAAGGATTTTCCATTGTAGGAGAATATAAATATCGAAATTTACTGCTTGACAACAAAGGAACAATCCTACCTCATGTTAAAGTATTTGAAGAGAGGATTAATTTTCAACAATTCAAAATTGCGTGAATTGTAAGCCGTTTATCTTTTATATTTAAGCTCCTCAAATGGAAATTATTCTTGCTACTTCATTTTACTTTTGTGATACCTGTATTATTACTCTCTGCAAAATCTCTTGAATTTCAATATTTAATCTTGAACTCATCTGTAGAAGGTCCTTTAAAACTTGTTTAAGTTCAGTTAATCTTTCCTACAAGTTTCTTAAATAAATTAGATGGAACTTTAAAAATATGAATGAATATAATAAGTACAAAAATATCAAAAAAAATAGAAATTTATTAATATTGGATAAAGTTCCTATTAAAGTTTCACTTTGTTTTATACGGAATGGCTTAACAAGTTACAAGAACATCTACCAGAAAATCTTAATAAATGATTTTGCAGATATGAGAAAAACGTGTAGAATACATTTGTAATCTTACAGACGATTTGTCTGCTCAATTTGAATAAAGAAAAACGATCAAGCTAGAATTAAAATGGCATAAATTTTGGATTAGGATGCAAATATTCTAATCAAAGTTCAAGAAAAGAAAGCATTAAAAAGAAAAAGTGATTTATATCATTATATTTTTCTCTTAAAAATGGTTTAAACATCATCATATTCAGATTTAGTTGATAAAATTTTTCTCATTAAAAGGCTTCATTAATAAAATTTATTTAATAATAATTGTAAATTACTTGAATAAAATACTTATCACCACTTGTTGCCTTAAAATTTCTGTATTGTTAGATCTTTTTTCATAACAATTTTATACTCTCAAAATGATATTATTAGAGTTATGTAAACTAATGGTAACTTATGTAATTTTATTTATCCAAATTGTTCTTTTAAATTGATGTTTTTGCAGAATTTGTGAAGGCAGAAAACTATTGGAATTAAATGTTACCTTAAAAAATATTTTCCTCAATTCAATCATTTTAAAAGTTTTCTGTAAGAACTTGGAGGAGGGTTAGGAAACTAGAAAAGCAATTAGTTTATTAAGGCTATTTGTTACATTTGGTTCAATTATTCCTCAAAAGAGATTAGGATACGAAAGATCTTCTTTGAATACTAACTATTTTATTACTCATATTTTTCAAATTTACATTTTATTCTATCCCATAAAGTTTTATCAAATATAAAAAAAATTAAAATAAGTGGAAAGCTTCAACTAAATTGAATAATATTCCTTGTAATGCTAAAAATTAGCTTAAATGAAAGAATATTCATTAAATTAATATTTATTTAAGATAAAAACAAATCTTCATAAATTTGATAATAGAAGAAAATAATTGACATCTAATAAAACATTATAGTTTATTTTTTATTGACCTTAGCCTTTTGTATTAGCAGGTTTTATGCTAAATTAAAGTTTCTACAAATTCAAGGTTATAATCTTTATTGTAATAGACTAATGCAAAAATTAATTGTGATAAATTTATGATTTATTCTCTAAATTTAAACTTTTGTATTTGAATAATTTCCAGAAAATAGATCGATTTTCAAGAACATGAATGCGAATGCTATATGAAACTATTGAAAGATTAAAGACTTGAAAAAAAGTTTTGGATTGATTTTTATTTATTTGCCAAAAATTCTAATGAATTTAAAACATATATTATGTGTATATAAATTATTTATTTAATTCATTATATTATGTTTAAATATGTAAATTTTAGATCAATATATTCAATGGCAAGAAATGTCAGAATTGTGAATAAATTAAAAAAAACATAAGATGTTTCCTAATAATTTTCAATGGCTTATGAAGATAAAAACGATGAGGATGGTATTAATAATATAATTATCAGATGTGATTGGAAGTCTCAACGATATAAAATTAGAATAAAATACTATCCTTAAAGAAGCTATAAAACCTGACATTAATTTAATTAAAGAGACTGTTTTGTTTGATGGAGATGATCCTTATTACGAAAAAGTTGTTGATAGGCCTGATAAAGGAACTGTTTGGGGATTACAAGGTGAGCTAGTGTAATAAAGAGATATTTTATTTGACCCTAATGAATAGTTGGACATATATAAATTAATTTCTTTTTTAGAAGTAACCTTTTTTAATAGTAATTAAGATCAATTAAATTAAAGATATAGTACATTATGATCTAGAAGATTATGGAAAACAGTTGCCTTAAAGATATGGAATTGTAGGAACGATGTTTTCAAGCAATCATGGTTGGAAAGTTTGTAAAGAATTAGTAAAAGGGTTTATGATCCAATATCAAAAAGAATAAGAAGAAATCAAGAACTTGAATTTAAGATTAGGTAATGAAGCCATGAACGCAGAACCTGATTAACGAGGAATCATGAATTTAAAAAGACTTCATCATTTGGGTATAGGAACTTATGGTAAACCTCAGATTAGTGGATAAAAGGATGATGAATGGCTGATGGTTTATTATAAATAATATATGATTCACCTTTTGACAGAAGACAGTAGATAGGAGGTTGATATAGAAGCTAAGTGGATGTATTAACCTACAGAAGAACATATGGATGAATACGATAAATTAATGATTGCCACAAAAACAGGAAATAGAAGATTTTTCGAGCCTCTTGATCAATGAATATGTATTAATTGTATAAATTTATCTATTTCAATTTTAAGTTATGTTTATAGTTAAATACTGATGTTATTAATTCTTAGATTGAATTTTTGATTCTTATTATAGTTTTTAAACATTCAATTCTTAGGTTTAAGAAACTAAGATTTAAAAATTTAACTAATTCATTGACTTTCTATATTTAAATGTTTGAGTATAAGTAGATTTTTTAGAATAATTTATTTGGTATAATGACTTTAAAACAACATCCATTTGTCATTTTATTAATAGTTATCATTTTCATTTAAACTAGCTTTACTTAAAATGCTAACTAATCAACCTATGTTGATTTGACAAATACTAGAACTAAAGAATGTAGTAATATCAAATTTTGTAAAACTATAGCTTAAATTAGTTGACATATCTGATCTTGAGAGAGAATAAGTTTGGAGTTAAATTTACTCTAAATCAAGTCTAGAATTATAAGAAAACATTGAATTCCTTGTTAACAACAGTTATGAGATCTCAAACGATTTTTATTTTTCATAATTGTCAAGCTTCACCATCCCTTGGCTTATAATAGCTATTGGAACCTTTTTTCTCTCTATTATGTATATACTCATTGTTTTCAAATCAAAGTGAGAATATTTTATGATTTTAGTTCTGTAGTAATTTGGATTAAAAACCATACAGAAGAGGAATTTCTTGAAAATACAAAAAGGTATCATAAATATGGAATCATCTCAATAGTTATCTTAAATTTTACCATAATTATTTGTTCGATTATTGCTTTAGTAATATAAAAATTTGAAATTTAGGTTTTTATAAATGATATTAATGAAGGACTCTCCTATTCAAGTTGCTATCTAATTTAATCATTTGATGATTTATTAAATAAAAACGATGAAAACTTTGTTGGATATAATAACCTTTAGGTTGATTTGGAAATATTATCAAAGCATGTTTAAGAGTTTCAAATAAATTTAAAGGCTTTATTTTAAGATAGAAAATCGATAACAATGACAAAAAAACTATCCGAGCTGATTGAATTTAATGATCAGTAAATTTATATTTCATTTAGATTAAAGAGAAACCTCCCAAGATCTCCTTTGCCGATAATGATATCTTCAAATGGAACAAATGTAATTGAAGAAACAGAGTCATATTTTTCAAAATCTAAATTAGTAAATTACAAATAATATTATAGTTTGATTATATACTATCAAATGAAAAAGATGAAGATTATTTGACATTTTAAGAATATTATGATCTTATTCAATAAAAATAAGAATTAATTTAATTAACAGATTAAGTGAATTAAGTTATTAGCTTTTATGATAAAATATTTTTGCATTTTGGATCAATTGAAAATGCCTCTTTTGCTCTTCGAGATTAAAGATTAACATCAATATATATGAGGGCTGAATAACAATTATCAATAATAAACAATTATTTATTTGTATATTCGGATAAGTATTTGAGCTTTCATCAAAGTTTGAATGAAAGTATGAAAAAATATACAAGTTCTATAATTGGAATTGGAATAACATTAATAATACTCTGTTTTATTTAAATCCTTGTCTGGGGTGGCTACTGGTTTAATAATCGGTTCAAAATAAAAGCTATAGTTGATTTTTTATGGTTCATTTGCAACTTACTACTTATAGCCCTTTTAGTTGTTAATATATTTGTGCATTCTCATTCTGAATTATCGAATGATATATGCATATATTTTGACGGATTTGTCAATAAGATTGAAGTATATAAAAGTCAAAACATAATTGATTTTGATAATACAAAATAGACACTAAAAAATTGTTTATTTGAAGATGGAAATATTTATGAGTAATTAAATCTTGTTTAAAAATTGAAAGATATTAGAACTTACATGAACAGTGAAAAAGGAGTAGAAGACTAAATTTAAAGAATCAATTCTAATTATAAATTATTTATCTAGAAACTATCTAAAAATACCTAAAGTTTAACTTATATTTTAGATGGAACAATTGTTGATCTAGATGAGAAGCAATAGATGGAGTTTAATAAAATAGTGAAATCGTTTAATGATCTTAAATAAAACAATAATTGTGCTGAGTTAGCCTTTTAGAGTTGTTCAGATGGTACAAGTCCAAAAAAGCAAGGTTCTTAAAATTAAACATAATTTTGCTGGCATCCATCATATTTAATAACAAGATATTCGGCTAGTTGTCCAGAGCAATAAAATGAATTTTAGAAATTAAAATAACACTTTTAATCTTAAGCCTAAGGATGGATAGAAGCCTAATAGTTGGAGTCTTAATTCATATCACTAAATTAATAACTTAGCATGGATTTAAACTAATATATAAATTAGGTTTAGAAATTTAATGAAAAAGAATAAATGATTTTATCAAGTATGAATAATATGCTCAAGTCAACTAATTGTACATTTATCAAAGTAAATAAATAATTCATATATATATAGGGTCATTATAATAAAATGCTTGATGGAATGTGCATAATATATTCAGAATCAGTATAAAAAGAATCTATACTTGTAATAATCATTATTTGTATGCTTTTCCTCTCTGTGCTTGCTAATTGTTTAACTTCTATAAAGGTTACTCATATGGAGTCCTACGAGGAATATGCATCTACAAAAGTGATAAATTTTGGAGGTTCTAGTAGAATGAGAGGGCCAAATGATCCAAATTAAATGCAACATGTATACCCTTTACATGTGATGAGCGGTGTAGAATAAGAGTTAAAATGAACTATAAAATACTTTAGCACTTAAAGTTTGAAATTATAATAATATTTAGTTTCTCTTTTAATAGCCAATATTATTTTATTAATTTTTTCAACCTTTTTAGGGAATATATAAGGTAGTTTCTATTTTTATATACTGAGACCAGAAAAGAATTTGAAAATGCAATTAGTTTAATAGCTCATTCGTTTAAACAAATTTATTAATTAAAATTGATTATTTATCCAATCAAACTCCTGCCAAGAAATTCCTAACAAGATCAGGCCATTTGATTTGAATTAATTGATTAATTTAATATCAATTTAGAAGAATTAAATGTTACAAGGAAAATACTCCTTTCACAATTCAAAACAAGGGCTCCTTCATACTTCAAAAATTGGCCTTTCTTTAGAAAAGAATAGAAACCTTTAGCAATATAATCAGCTACTTACAAAAATAAATTGAAATAATTATTTATATTTTGTAATTTTATTATCTTATTTTCATTTCTGTTAATCCTTATTATTTTGTTTTGTCTTTTCATCGTCAGAGGATGATGATGAAGAAGATTCTTCTTTCTTTTTTCTGCTTTCTTTAGCTATTCTACGGACTTCCTTTTTAAATTCTTCAAGTGACATTCCAAATTATGAAGCAAGCTTTTGCAATTTTTCATTTTTTTTTTAATTTTCTTCATCAGCTAATTGTTGATATTTTTTTTTTTCATCTTCTGATAATTCATTATATTTTGCCCAACTTGATTTAAGATCAGTGGATGGTTTAGTTGAAAAAAATTTACTTTAAGCTGTCACAGTACCTAATCTGACTAAGTGGTTGTTTTGATATTCTACCATACGTTTTACAAAGATTTGTCTCTTCTATTCTGCTGAATTTTTTATTATTTCATCATTCTTAGCTAACTCTTCTGCAGGCAATGTCTTAATTTCCTGTAATAATTCAACCCACTTAGTTTTCAAATGTGGAAACTTTTTTCCATAAAACAGAATCTTCTCGGAGATCATACTTGGTCTTTTTGGTACATCATAATTTTCTTACCACTCTTTTAATTATTGTTAATGAATTGTCACATCCTTAAATTAAATGTAAATGTTACTGTATTTTTCTACTTTCTTGGTTTTGGTGGCACAACATACTTTCCTTTGAGTAATTAAAATTGAGAGAAAGTAAATATTGGTTGCTAAAATTTAAAAGCTTATTATGGTGAATAAAAAGATACCTCTTGATAAAGCAAACATTATTTATAATCACAATTAATAATGAAAAATAATATTAAAACTTTACATATTTAATTATCAAATTCCAGGAGGGAATTTCATCATTTCCAATTCTTTAATTATTTCTTTAAATGATGGGCGTTTTTCAGGATCCCTATCCCAGCATCTTTTAGTGAGCCTTGCAAAAACTTCAGGAGTTTTTTTTGGTATCGTGGGTCTAAAATCATTATTCAACACATCTAAGGAAACCTACAAGCCAGTAATATCTAAATTATTAATAAAATATTACTTCTATAAGGTGGCTCTCTTGCTGCTATTTCCCATAATATTATACCGAAGCTAAAAACGTCAGCTTTTTCAGTATATATTTACCCTGCAATTACCTCAGGTGCCATCCATTAATATGTACCAATTTTGCTGGTCATATAATTAGAGAGTGTTCTAGTCCATCCAAAGTCTGCTAATTTTGTTCTAAAAGCTTCATCTAAAAGTAAATTTAGACTTTTTAAATCTCGATGTAATATAGGTGGATTGAAAGAATGTAAATACAATACACCTTTTGCTGCATCTAAAGACATCTTTCTACGATCTTCCCATGTTAAGTGAATGTCATGATTTTAGATTACTTACCATAAAGAACCTCTCTAACAATATTCAAGTACAATAGCCAAATTAGGAGGTTTTGTACAAGCACCTAAAAACATTACTATATTTGGATGTCTAAGTGCTTCCATTGCATGACATTCAGATAGAAAATCTCTTATGTGATTTTCATTCATTCCATCAATTTTAAACATTTTAACAGCTACTGTGGTTTCTCTCCATTTAGCTCGATAAATTACTCCATATCCACCTTCACTTATCTATTTTTCAAGCATTATATCATTAAAATCAATATCCAAACTTGATTAAAATATTCTATGTTTAATTGGTCTTTCAGGTGAGATCTCTAAAGCAGAAATATCAAATTTAGATTATTATTTTTTTATTTGCCTTTAAATATATGATTCATTTGTTTAAACTTTTTGATCTTTAACTTTCTTTTTCTACAAAATTTCATTCTTCATTCTATCATATTTTTATTGCAATTGAATATTTTATTATTTCAATATTTCTTACTCATTTTTACATTTTTCAACTTCCTCGCTTAATTTATCTGGGTCCTTATGAGAATTTTAATTTTCATCTAAAATGATTTCTAAGAAGGATGATGATAGTAACAAAGTATGAAAATTACCACAAACTATCTTCTAAGTTTCAGGTACAGTAAATAACAATTTTGGAGATATTATTCCTTTACAATTAACACTAGGTTATCCAGTTAATTATCCATAAATATTAGATCCCCATCCGAATACTTATTTATAATCAGCTGATAGTGCAACACAATGATTTCTTCCACTTGATATTTATGATATTAAGGGTAAGCCCAATACTTTAAATGGAACATCAGCATAAGTCTATTCTATTCCTAGTTATCCTTAGATATTCTCACCCATAGAGTAAACTTCCCCTTTACTATTAAGAAATAACGTAAACATCTCTCCCATTTTCATATCTAGAACACATTATTAACTATTTAATTCATCTAAAATTTTTATTTATTATGGTAGCTTTATGTGATCTTTGTTTGATTTGCAGATTCCCCATATAAAGGTTCTTCCTCCTTCAACTATACATCCTGAATGTGCTAATCCACAACAAATCTTATCAACTTTGTAGTGTTGTAAATTTGATATCTATTTGAATTCATTAAGGGTTTAATTTTCAGGATGTCCTAATGCATAGGATTCTCCGAACCCACACGAAAAGACTCTGTTTTTATTTGTTAAAACTAATGTGTGTAATGCTCCACAAGAAATTTATTAAACAGCTTCATCATTTTGCAAAAGTATTTAGCACTGTATTTCATTAGGATTTTTTTATTTAATCTTTTCCTTCATCATAACAATCTGCTCCATAACATTATCAATAGAAGAAGATCTTTCTTTTAAGCCTGGAGAGGTTGATGAATCTCCTTCATTTGTGCTCTTCATTCTTTTATGTCCAACCTGTTGTTCTCTTGCCTTGCTATTGCTTGTACCAAAAGGTAAAAGACCATAAACGAGAGTAGGTTATAAAGCATTTTCAAAATTGCCCAATCCTAATTGGCCTTTCAAATTTAAACCCCAAGAATACACTTCTCCTTTAGCAGTTAACATAAATGTGTGTTCTGCTCCACAAACTACACTTGTTATTCTTTAATCTTTAAATATTGGAGTTAACTTAGGTTGCGTGTTAGATTCATATCCCAACTAACCAAATTAATTATCACCAAACCCTAGAACTTCATTCTTATTATTCACAATAATTGTATGATTTTCACCTGCAGAACATAATTATACGCCTTAATAATGAGGGATGATATTTTTATTTGTTTTTAATAATTGACCACAAGTGTTTAACCCTAAAATAAACTATACTACTTTACCCCATGAATATAATTATATTGTGTCTAATTGTAATTATCTTGGAGATTTTGAAAAATCACTATATGATCTAGGGGGTCGAACATCTTTTTCTTTCAACTGCTTTAACATCTTCCTTGATTCAGTTAAATCATTTAATTTCATTAGTTGGTTATCTGAATTTTTTAAAATTCAAATTTTATTATTCATTATATTGTAGTAGTATTTTATAATAATATAAATATATTGATGTTTCATAATCTTTTTCTAAGATTCCATACAGCTCCTAGTAATTATTCAAATTATGTATCATCTTCCATTAATACACTAAAATTATTATAATAGTTGATAAATTCTTCAAATGCAACATTTGGATTTTTCAAATAATCCATTCCGGTCTACAAATAAATATATTGATTACAAATATTTAATGATGTTATTCGAATGTATCAATAAATTCACACAGAATATCATCTTCTCTTCTTCTATTCAATTTCACATCTGGATGCTCTTTAGGATTAAATGAACCTAATTATAAATTCATTCAATACTTTTTATAACTTCAACATTTTGCTTAGGTAAAGATTCAAATACTTATTATAAGATGTTGAATTTTCTTAGACTCATAGTTCCCTAAAGTTATTTAATAAAATTTTCATAAATAATCATCCCATTTACTTATTATTAATGAAACACATCTTAAATTACCTATTCATTCAAATCTAATCTCCAAGACCTAAAACTATTTAACCAATCATTTAATGATAAGGATCCCACTCCTTATTTATCAAAAACTCTAAATCTTTGTTGAATATTAATCAATCCTCTTATTCCTCTCTACAAAATCTTATTTTTCAAAATTTAAAAACTATCAATTTTTTATTTTTACTATTTAGGAGTCTACTCAATTTAATAATGAAATTGTTATTATTAATTTTGCTAGGATTGTTGTGATAATTAAGAATGACCTAATTATACATTAGATTTAGTAACATTATCTTGAAGTGGCTTAAAAATATTAAATGATGCTGGTTATTCAAAACCAGAAGCAGGTCTTTGTTGTTAAATTTATTCTTATTGTGTAAATGTGCCAAAAGGAGCATTAGCAGAGACACTACCACCCTGAACAACATATCTATGATGATCTTGTAGATAACTACGTTTATGATCTGGTTCAAAGACTTATTTATTGCCAGCATGATGTGTTTTTTGTTGTTCTGCTTATATTTTAAATACAGTAACAAGAATTTATTCAAAATATTTATCATCAGGAACTGAAGCACTAAAATTGCTAAAATATTCAATAAGTTCATCTTTACTAATATTTTCATTCCCAAAGCCTCCATTGATATTATGTAATTATTATAAGGGTTCAAAGAAATCCTAAATGATTTCATCATCACTTTTTTTTCCACTTTTTAAATCTGGATGATTTCTAACAGTAAAATTATTCCTTAAATTTGAAATAGTTAAATAATCTCCTTATTTATATTTTTCAAATAATGACTCTACTAATTAGATTCTCTATTCACTCATCTCACCTCTCAACACAAACATGAATCCCCATATATCAATCAATCCTGAAACATCTCTGTCAAAATATTAAAATACTAAATCTATTTCTGGATCTGTAACTTCTATTTTATGATCTCTAATAGCTCTTCTAAATTCTGATAAATTGAGCATTCCATCTTAATCAGCATCCAAAATCTTTGCTACTCTATATAAAGAAATAAATCCACGAGCACCTCTTGATACTAATCTATTTCTAATTCTTTGTACTATCAACTCAACCTACTTTGAAGTTGCAGACAATTATGATTATTAAGATTGATGTGATTTTTATGACTAATGAGATTTAACAGATCTAGGTACAGATGGTCGTTATTATTCAGGTTCTTAAAGATGTTATTATATAGGGGTTCTTTGTATTTGAGATTATTAATATTATTAATATGATTTAGTTGATTTATTTTCAGGAGAAAAGTTCAATTATTAATTGATTTGCTTCTAAGATCCAGGAGATTATTACAATTATTATTAATAAGACTTTTGTTTTACGCTTTAAGATGGAGAAGCTTATTGTTAGTTCAAATTATCTAAATTCCATACTTACACTACTATATTTCTGAAGATCTCATCATTTTAAATGTTAAATCCAAAATATGAATAAAAATCAAGCAAATCCTATAAATTCAATACTTTTATTGCTCTGATTTATAAATATAGACTTAATCCCGTAACAAATTCTTCTTTAATTTCATTCTAATCTCTTCTCAAAAATTTAATGTCTGGATGTTTATCAGCTTAATATCTATTTATCAAAAATTGAGGAGTTAGTTCACGTGCTTCAAATGAATAAAATACATTAGTGATCAATGCCTATCTAAATTAGTTCAATAGTTATCCTTTTATTAAACCAATCAAGTTAGCTTGACTCATGAATTCTCCATTAAATAATTAATGTAACCCTTCTATATCTATATCCTATCTTCTTAAATAGTCCTATAATTGTTGACAGTTAAATTAATTTGGCAAACTTATGGCTAAGTTTAACAAGCCCAAAGCTCCTTTCAGTTAGATCTTAGCTCTTAAGGATTCTATTGGGGAGGCTATGATCCTTGATTCTGAATAATCTTCCTAATAACTGTCTTTTATCACAACTCTATTGATGAAATCTTTGTAATTAAGTTAGACACCGTCAGAATAGTGAGACCACAATTTTTCAGCAAACTAAATTAATACATTAATGATACTTCTTATTCTGTTATAGTTACTCCAGATTTAGCTATAGCTTTAAGAAAGTCTTATTTTTTTAGAAATCCTTAATTAGTTAGATCAAAGAATTTGAATATTTTAAGTAAGACAGTTTCTACACCTACTCTTGATGAGGCTTTGAATTGTAATTTGGTTACTAGTTCTTTTTCAAATTGCTAAATATCCATAATTTTTTAACGATAATTTAATTAATTTATATGTAGAGAAGTCAATCCTTTTCAGAAATTCAATCATTAAATAATTAAGTTAAAATTGAAGATTTAGTATAACAATCCCCAAATTAGATTGAAAATCAAATCAAATAATAACAATATATATTTTAAGCTAGCTTTGCAAATTAAACATAAATATGTAATACTCCTTTAGAAAAATACAATAATTCTGCTTTGGGAAACACAATAATAAAATAGGGATTAATCTATATTAAAATAAATACAGGAAGTTTTAAGAAATCAAACATCTAATTAACAATAGAAAAATTAGTATTTTTGGAGGATAAATAATGGTTTATGGTTTTTAATTTAAAATACTTAGCATTTAATCTGATATAAGTAATGAGTTATTCATATTAAAAATAAGTGTAACAAAAATTCTTTAAGACTAATTAAAATTGATTTTTACAAAATGAATAAGGTAATTTTTTTGAGGTTTAATGATGAAATTGAAGGGAAATTATGGTTTTAATGTTTGAAGATGATAGAGGATAAGTTTAAGAATTTTTATCAAAAATTAGTTATCAAAGATATGTATTTTGGAACAAATTTTGTGACTCAAAATGAATTTTTGGATTGGGCAGAAACAGGTGATATTTTGCTTTTTGAGTATAACAGCTTATATATATTTAAGAACTGATCATTATTTGGCTAAATTATAGAGAGTGTTCACAAGTTCTAATTTTGACCATGTTGGATTGATAATTCGAAAATAAGAGCATAAAGAAATTATTATAGTAGATGTTAAAAATAATATAGTATAATTTAATTAAAATTAGGGAGTTGACTTTGAATTTTGGAGTTTTTTTCTTAAATAAAATACTCAATTCAAAAAAATCTGTTATAGAAAATTATTAAATATTGATAGAGGTTATATAAATTAAAGAATTTAGGAATTTATTGATGTATTATATAATATTATTAAGAAAGTTTACGAACAGGAATTTCAATTAAATATAATGAAGTTGTTACAATAATAAAGTGATGGGTTGATTAATAAAGGGTATTTTTGTAGTGAACTGATTGCAAAGGCATATAAATATTGTTAATTGTTACCTTAGAAAAAGGCTAGTTCTCAATATTGGCCAGTGACATTTTCAAAATAATTAAAATTATAAAATAAAGCAGAATTGAGCCAACCTATGATGATTTTATTAGACAATGATATTAATTATTAATTATGAATTAAACTAATTAAAATATAGTTATTAGACATGGATTTCAGTGTAAAAAAGGAATAAATTTATACTAAATATCTGCTGTACTCATCTATTTAGGACACTATTCAGTGATCTTATTTTAAACATTAGAATATGTAAGCAATAAATTTTTGAAAATTTTATCAGAATCGCATCTGGATGTTAGTTTCGCTTTTCACATTTTTTATCACTTTATTTTGGTTTATTGCAACAAAAATTGATCCAACCGATCCAGAAATATATCATTAATATCGATTAAAGGCATAAAAGTATTATATTTAAGAATTTACATAGAGCAAAATATCAAACTAAATTGAATTGTTATTGTAAAATTTGTTTAGCTTTTGTTAAAGCCCCCTCAAAACATTGTAAATCTTGCAATCGATGTACTGATTAATTCGATCATCATTGTATTTGGTTAAACAATTGTATTGGAACACAAAATTACAAATATTTTTTTATCTTAATAGTTTTATTAGAATTGTATCTAATTACTGTATTAATACTCTCAATTATGATAAAATCAATACTTAGTTATATTGAAATTGGTTTTACATTTTTGTTATTGATACCCATCACATTTTTATTAGCAATGCATATATATTTTCGATTTAAGGGAATAACAACTTATGAATATATATTAATGAAAAGAAAAAAAGAAGAAAAACCATCAACTGAGAAACTAGATGAAAAATTGAAAGAGAATACTTCCAATTTAACAAATGTTTAAACAAATATCCTTTCAAGAAACTATATGTAATAGACAAATCTTAATCCATTAAATAATAATTAGAAATCTTAAAACAACAAATAACCAATAGATTGGGATTAGGAGGATGCAGATGTTGAAGATGCTCAAAGTTTTCATGCCAAGGAACCTTTACCATTATCAAGTCAGAAAAGTAGTGGTAGACAATTAGATTTATAATGTAATTCTACTAATAGAAGAACTTGTCCCACTACTCATAGGTATTGAATTTGTTAATAATTTTAGAGGAAATACATCAGGATTATAATTAACAGAACATAAACCCATAAAATCTTTGTTTAATGTTAAAGATGTCCAAAATTTATATGAAGATCATATGATCAATAATGTAAATGAAGATTCTATCATCCAATTTGATTCGAAAAACTCATAAAAAACTGATTAATTAGATATAAATATATGATCAATTTTGATTACTTAAATACAATGTTGCTTCTTGGAGATTAAATAAAATTAATCAATCCTCCTATGGCATACTACATTAAATATTTCGCAATTAAAAAGGTTCTTACCTATATCAATAGTAATTTCAAAGTACCCAATTTTATTGTATACTTTCCTATTATCAATTCAATAGATTATAGACAAACAAATAACTATAATTAGATAAGAGATAGATTTATTGAGGAAATAAAATGAATAAAGATTTTAATCCTTTGAAGTAGATATGCGAAATGTTGAGGATTCAGCATTGAGACTCTTTAATCATATAGATGATATGGAAAGACAAGGATAAGAAGAATTATGTTCATCCTTTATATTTGTAGTGCACCTATTTTCACTCCTAGCCTTTTTTAAACCTCATAGAGATGATTTTCATGAAAAAAGTAGAATCTAATACTATTCTAGAGAAATATTCTTAATATAAAGCAATAGAATAATATAATAAAATGGAAAAGAGTGGAATCTACATCAACAATTAGAAGATAAACATAGGCGCATTTGTTGATAGTTATTTATTTGATATCCCTCCAGAGAAAATATATAGTTAGCCATCAATATAAGGTATTGAACCTCCTAAAATTGGAAAGTTTGAATGGAAAAAAACATAATAGCTTGAAAAATATGAGAATTTAGAGAAAGAATCGAAAATAAAAATAAGGGCAGCTATTTCAGAACTTGATTTTAAACAATATAAAAATGCAAAATAACAAATTATGTCAGCTATTGAATTATTAGATAATTTATTAAAATGAATGTTATAACTAATTTAATTGGGATGATTAAATGATGTATTTTTAAATTTCCAATTTCATAAAAATTTAAAACTAATATAAGATAAATAGAATTAATTATAGATATCATTTAGATATAACAGTATATTGTAAATCGATAATTTCTTAGAATATCAATCAAAGAAAATATATATATAAATATTATATTGATATTCATCACCAAATCATATATGTTGACTTTGAATACTTTTTAATTTATATAATTTAAAAATATACAATGGACAATGATTCTGAGATTAATTTTGATGATATCTAAGATGATGATGGTCTATTAAATGATGAATAAAATGAAAATAAACAAAAAGAATAAACAAATAACTAAGAGAAGGAAAAGGATAATCAAGGTGAGCAATAAGAAAAATAATAAAATTAGATTAAAGATGATGAATATGAATAATTTAGTGATGATGATTAATAAGATTTAAATAAAAAGAATAAAAAATAAAATAATGGGTATTTTGATGATGATGATGATGAAATGGAAAAAGTGAATTAAGGTGATTAAAAAGATAAAGCACAGGAATAAAGTAAAGTTTAGGAATAAGTTTAATAATAATAAGATGAACACTAAACTCCACTTAAGGAATCAGATAAAGATTAAAATGAAATTAATGATAATAACAATATTGATAAAAGCAATCAAAGTTAACCAAAATATCAACCTGATTCTCAAGAAAAATAGGATAATGAATCATAATTAGATCATTAAACCTCAGAATTTAAAGATGATTAAGATTAAAATTAATTGAATGAGGAAGTTACAAATCAATAAGAAGATAAAAATTCAATTAATAATGATGAAGAGAATTAATCTAAAAAAAATGAAAATTTTATAGAAGATCAAAGTTAATAAGAAAATTAAGAATAAGTTGTAGAAAAAAAGAAAAAACCTAATAAAAAAACAAAGTAAGAAATTGAAATAGAAAAAAAAGAAAAAGAGAAAAAGTAAAGAGAAGAATTGAAAAAATAAATGGAAAATGATCTTAAAAATTTTGAATAATAAATTAAAGAATAATAAATTGAAGAAGAAACAAGAAAAATAGAAGAGAAAAAAAAAATGCAAGAACTTTATACCTTATAAAGAAAAGTATAATAGAATTCTTTGTAAACAATTAATAAAGTTTCTATTTTATAACCAATTTTACCTTAAGTTAAAGCCAATTATAGAAAAAGAGTATAAATTAGTGAAGACATTATAATGAATAAGAAAGCTTAAGAATTAGTATAAAAATATAATTCAGAAAGACAAGGTTCATTAGAATAGTATTAATCAAACTTATAAAAGTCAATTGATGAAAAAAGTGCTTTATTTTTAACTAAAAATTAAAATGCAATCAAAGAAGTATAAAAATATGAAACAACTTCAAATAGAGGCAAAGAGGATCCTATTAAATTAAATAATTAATCATCAAAAGGAAATTTAAAGAATACAAAGAAATGAAATTTAATTTATAAAAATATAATCAACTATTATAAAATAAGAGCTATATGTATATTTTTGAAATCTAAAATAATATTAGAGATAGCAAAATGTATAAAACATTGTATATATTTTTTGATTTTATTAGCATATGCAATATCAATTTAATAAAAATATAATGGCAGAGAACTTTGTTAACATATTAATTTAATATTTTTTGATACTGAAAATAATTAGTATTTTTATATTTCTTAAAAATAGATATATATAACAAATTGAAAGCAAATAATATATATGCATAAAAATTTCAACTTGTAATTAAACCAATATCTAAGTTTTCAATAGCTTTTTTATTCTGTTGATATTTTCTGATTATTGTAATACCAAGTGCAAATAATATTACAAATAACCAAGTAAATAGTACATAAGTAGTCTCAAATCCATATAAAACTCCAGTGGGTTTGTATAAAATTTAATTTGCATCACAACTCTCTTCAAAAGTATTACATCCACATTATTATTTAATTTCATATCCATATTAATCCCAATAATGAATTACTCCTTTATCATCCACTGTTGTAATATTAGATTTATGATTACACATCCAAGTGTCATCCATAATCATAGAGTCATAATCTGAAAACTCAAATGTGATAAATTATTGTCCTTGTGTACTAAATATATAATGAATGGAAATACATTGCTTATTCTCCTAAGAAATTGAAGAATCCTCCAGGAGATTGCATAGCAGAAACTTGATTAACAAATGATGTACGAGAACATGAAGAATACACTTCCTAAATGATATATTTCTCTAATTTTACGCATGCAACTTAAGGTTTAGTTGTAAGGGATACAAGTTAGACTTCAATTAATTTATTTTTATTTGCTGGATCTGTAACATTTGCTCGACCTGTATATTTCATGAAATTAGTTTGATCTGGATCACAAGTATAAATACACCAAAATCGTTTCAAATTAGCTCCACATCTAATAAATAATCTTGAATATTATATTACATATCACATCCTCCTCCATCTTAACCAAATGTTGCATCAATAGAACGATAATTTGATATCATTTAGTCTATATTATCTTATCTACAACAGACTGGTTTATTATCATAAAATGGACAAGGTTATATTTTGCCAATATTTATAGGTGTTCTAGTTTCATCAACACAAGCTGATGATGCAAAATAAAGGAATTGTTATGAAATAATTAAAAAGATTTAAAACTTCATAATATTATTAAGTGATTAAAGAATATTATTAATATAAAAATTAAGAAATGTATTAATCATCTTTATTAATATGTTCTACATGTATAACATAAAATTTTATTTGTAGTATTAGATGCCTAACAATAACTATGTCGAACTACACATCCACATTTCTTACAAAATAACATAGATTCCATATCTTCATTTCCTTAGCATTCTTCACAACATTCATCATCTGCTACAATAAAACTATCTCCAGCATCATCTTAAATAATGAAATAGAAATACATTGACTATCTTAAACAAAACTGGATTGATGTATAGAACTTTATGCCTAACTATATTCTTCTTCATTTTCATCATCATCATTTTCATCTAAATATTCTTGTTTTTTAATTTTTTTTTTTATTTTAATTAATTAACCTCTTAAATACTCTCCATCATCTCCTCTTATACAAATTGTATACTAAAAATATATTTTTAATATAATACATTTTTATATTGTTTTCTACATAAAGGACAATTATTTTAGTATTTTTCACATTATATTTATATACATTTTTAGCAAAATAGATGTCCACATTATAAAATAGCAGCTTAAATTATTTCTAAATCAGTATAACAAACAGGACATGATGTAGCTTCTTATTAGGCTGCTTATACTATGATTTCTTATTTTTTAATTAATTTATATTTCTTCTTTTATTCAACAAAGTTTTCTTTTACATTTTCATTTTTTTCACTAGTTTCTCCATCATCATCAAAAATAACTTTTCTATTTCTTTATTTAATTTCATTTATTCTCAAATCTTAATTTATCTATTCAAAATCATTTCTGATCAATCTCTTTTTTCCTTGATGTTATTATATTAATTTTGGTTCATCACTTTCTTCACTTGATATAATAATTGCCTTTTTTTGATTTTTCATTAGTTAATTTAATGATAAATTTCTGATTATTTAATTAAAATAATCAATATATTAATATAAATAATAATCTCAAAAAATTACAATTCTTTTACAAATCAATCAAAGTCCTTTTTAAATCTAAACATCTAAAAATTTAAAATCAATATATTTGTATTTTTCTATTTTTGATACCTTCATTATTAAAAATATATAATAATTAGTATCATAAATAGTAAAGAATTAGTCTTATTATAAAAATTAGCTTTATAATTTGTATTTATTGAGAAATAATACTTTTTAGAACTAGTTTTGAAATAACAGTTTATTAAATATTATAAAATGGGGGTTTTGTGAATTGTATGCAAATTAAATAAAATATTATCATTCTAATTTAACTTTTTTATTTGTTTCTTCTTGATCATGGTATGCTTTAAACGAAACAGCTAATTCATAACATCTTTATTTCATAGACGAAATCCATGGTACTCTTTTGTATGAGGATATTTTCTAATTACTATAAATGTTTTATACGTCGATTTATCCAGATGCAATAAATTTCATTACTTATTTAGTCATATTCTAAATCTTTTCATTATTTTCTTAATCCCATATTTCATCGAAGTTTTCTAAATATTTAATGATTTAATACCTAAATATTCAAGGTATCCTTAATAAAACTTTTCAGATGAGAAAATTTTCTTTAAGAATGAATTATTCATTGTTTTGTTTGATGATTCTTATCGAAATGGTATTAAGTCTTCTATATTCTCGTCAGTCATAAAGTATTCTTTATAAAAGACCTTTTCAATTTCATATGCACTCATTGTCAATTCATTTAAATTCATTTTTTATTTGAGATATTTAAAGCACTTTCTTATGATAAACTTAATCTATTCTTCTTTAGTTTTTTTTTATTTCTAATATCGATTAATAAGTGTGTCTATTAATGAATCATCTATTTTTGTCAATATCTAACATTATATTAATATTTCCATACTGTATATTGATTTTTTTCATTTTCATCCATTTCCTTAATTTCATTTTTGCTCAAATACTCTAAAAATTATTTGAGTTCTTATAAAATTTGATCTTATGAAAATTATTTCAGAATTTCATTCTCTTTCTTCTATTTGGGTAACACTCTTTCAGATTAACTTTTCTTAGTACGAATATCAGGCTATTATGCTGAGGGTATTGTTCTTTGAGATGATTAAGAAAGAAGAGAAAATTATTAAAGAGGATTCAGTGAAGGGATCTGAACATTTTATTGATTTGTACAATTATTTTAAATAGTGCTAAGCAGTTGCAAATACTAGTTTAATATAATATAAATACTTGTAGGTATTGGATCTGTTATAATTGTTGCATTTAAGTATAATACTATTGTTATCCTGCATTGATAAACTATTAAAATGGATTCATAAAATAATTAATATTATCTCATTTATTTTTAGATTCAACTTATATTGTGAATAAGAAGTCCACTAAAACTGAACTACATAATTCCAATTGTATTATAAATAATTGTTGTGAATATAACATAAACATAAACTATAAACAAAGAATTTTAAAATATAATTCATTTAATTTTGAAACCCTTATTTTTGAAGATCTATATATAAAAAAGGTACAATAGAAATGAAGGAAATCATTTAAAGATATGATTCAAAAAAAAGAAGTAAAGAAATATTATATGCTTCTTATTAATAAAAATTATTTTAAATATTTCTTACAATTAAACTAATTTCTTTAACTGAAATTTCTATAATCAAGGTATCTAAATAAATAAATAAATAAAACTTAAAATCTTTACAATAATTAAAATATTCATAAAATAATGCATTAATCAATTCAATATACTTTTTTATATTGAATTGCTATAAGTTAAATTATCTTTTAATAATTAATGAGAACAAAAATTAATTACAATTATTAACACATAAAAAACCCTATTTTATTTTTTAATATACTAATATAATATAATGAGATAATGAATAAATCTAATCTTTACTTATTTGTATATACTTGTACATTACAAAAATGTATTTAAGAAAGTTTAGATATAAACCTCATTTCCATTTAAATATTATATAGTAATATATATACTAAAATAATATAAGAATTTATGTCATTGAAATTAGTTATTGTTAATATTTTATGTTAGAGATTAAGTAATCTGTAAAAAAAACTAACCTTTTTAAAAGACTTATTATAATTTGTTTTGTTTTATTTTTAATATTTATGAACGTTGAATAAATTTTACAAGGTCTCAATCCAAATACTACTAACATCAATTTAGAGTTTAGGTATGAAATATAATTCATAATAAGGTAACTTGATAGTATCAATCATTTAGTTGAGAATTTTGCTAGATTTTAAAGATTAAAATATGTATTAGATTTATACTAATTTAAGATTAATCTTTAAGGTAATAACCTGACTTAATTGAGTAATAACTTAGCAATTCTATATATTGAAGAATTGGATATATCATAAAATCCTTTAGATTTTGAAATTGTCATCAAGCAATTATAATAATTATCAAAACTAACGAAATTGAATATTACAATAAAACCTGAAGAAGCTTAAATAATATAAGAAAATTTGCCATAATTAAGATTTCTAAATAATCGTGAAATTAATCCTGTTGTTTTTAAATAAAAAGAATTAGAATAATATGCAATCTAATTTGAAAAATTAATAGAGATAACAAAAGATGACAGATTGAGAAATTTATTTGATGAACATGTCAAAAATGTGATGAAGGATCTTTCATTAAGATTATCAAAAGATTTACCAGCATTTAAAGCAAAAACTCATGTGTTAAGAGCTAAATATGCTCTTTAGGAATTAAATTTTAATATGATAATTGAATATACTCAAAACTTGGATTAAAAAGTTGGTGCTTTATTTTAAATGGTACATGATGATCATGCTAATATTTTTAAAGAATTAACTAATATTATATTAAGTTAAGATACAATTAATCCAGTAAGTTAGTATATAGAGAAATTGGAAAAATAAGAATACTTAATAAAATAATTAGAATCAGATTTATAAGAGTAATAATAAACAATATAAATGTGTCAAGAAGAAAATTAAAAATATTTAGATCTTATTATTAGACATGGTAAAGCTAATTATGATTCAAAATAAGGATATTCAAATTTATAATAATAGTAATAATAATAAGCCTTAAAGCCTACTAATAAAAAAATAGATACATCAGCAATTAAGGATAAATCCTTATAAAATAGTTTATAAAATGAGGGATCTTTATTATCAACTGCTAAATTAATACCTTTAAAATAATTAAAGGAATAAATTTAGGAGATTTATGATTCAAAAGCTAAATTTGATTAGAAATGTTAGGAAACAAAATAAGCAAGGGAAACAATGGAATAACATATGTATACATATTTGAATTAAAAATATGGATTAAAGGTATTTTAATAATAATATTGAATTAGAATATAATAATAGAATAAGCTAGTACAATAATTTAGAGTGTAAAAAGATTAAGTTAAGAAGATAATGATATATGTGTATTTGGTAAAATATTGAGAAATGAATGTGATGAAGAATTTAGATTTGTATAAATTTAAGTAAAATAAACAATTGCAGAATTATTACGTATGTTTTTGAGATAAAAGAATCCTTTAAAAAATATGACAGATATTAAAGAGATGTGGAATTAAAAAATTTAAAATTATCTTAGTTTTGATGAATGTTAGGAGATTGTTAATTATATGTACAATTAAGAGGATAGTTAAGTTTTATTATAAAAATTGAATTAGATAAAATTATAAGGGAATAAATTAGAATATTGTTAATTTGTTACTTCAATTTTAGATTTTTAATTGTTTACACATGAGAAATATTTATAAAAGTTTTTAAAGTTATTTAGATAAGTAGATACAGAGAAAAAAGGATATTTAACAGATGTATTATAATAAATTTAATATTATAGGTATAATTTAGATAATTAATGAATTTGACAAATCTCAATTTAAGTGAAGATGAAATAATTAAATTTATGTGCATACTGGATCCATTTAATACATAATAAATGACATTTTCTTCTATTGTATCATTACTATCTAGTGTAGGTAGAAATCAAGTGACTTTATTATAAAAAATTTAATGATTTTATAACTAAAATATATTTATCATTTGTTTTAAAGATAAATTAGTAATGAATTAATTTAAAAATTTTTCAATTTTGTTAATAATGCTTTTGATTTATTATTATTGCTCTTAAAAATTTCTATCTTATATATTTTAATATAAGTTAAGATTTATTTAGAATTATAGCTGATTTACATTCATTCTTTTTTTTATTTATTAAATATGTCTAAAAAAATGAGACTAAATCAAATCTGTAGTCTTACTGGCGATTAACTTAACCATCTACTCTCTTCGCCTTCAGAAGAAAAAACAAGAAAAACCTTAAAAAAAGTCACATTCGATAATTATGCACTTTATCTTTAATTTCGAGCCACTGACTGTCCAAATCAAGTCAATTCAACTCTCCAATAACATCATTTCAAAAGATCAAATTCAGCCAATACATAACCCTGAATACTTGATATTTAAATTCATATATTATTTGAATCTCAACAAAACCTTCCTTTAAGTATTTAGCAAAGCAATTTCTGCTATTTTTACATAAAAACAATATAATTTAAGTATAAGTATTCGACAAATATAATAAGTATATATGAATTTCAAACAGATTATAGAACAACAAATTTGAGCAATTTATATTACTGATATTGAAAAATTAATCTCTAAAATTCATTTCGAGTGGAAAAAATAATTTATGATTCCAATTAAATTAGTTGTTAAATTGTTATTGCTATAATAAAGTAATATTATTATAACATATATTTGTATACTCATTTATATTTAAGAGTTTTTATTAGTGAATTTAAAGATTACAAAAAATCTAATTATTCTAAATGAATTCTAAAGTATTTAAGAATATAAATATTTATATAATTAAATATTATGTAAATATAAAATACAGAATAGAACACAAATATTTATCATAATTCTACATATCATTTTCGATATCTCTTAAATTTTACAAATCTGTTCTCAAAATAATTATTACAATAATCAAATATGAAATTTTTATTAAAAGTTCATATGTAAAATATAATAAAATAGAGATTAAAATTTAGAATAAGATGAATTTTTTATTACAAAATATCGAAATATATCTAAATATGATAAAATAGGTTAATGAATTTTTTATAATATCTACTTATTAAATTAACAAAAAAATTGAATATTGTGAATTTGATTCTTAAGGTTTCAAAATAAAATAATCATCTTAGATAACGTATTTGTACTTTAATACATAAAAAAATTTAAACAATTTTTAAAGAGTTTAAGCCTACAAAAATTGTATTTAAGTTAATTTATTTTGTAAAAAATTTACATAAACAAAATTAATATCATCGTTAGATAATACCTTAAAATATTGTTTTATTTTATTGATAAATACTTCTTTAGATAAATTACAAATAGCATTGATTAATGTTACTTATAAAGAAGAACTGAAATTAAAGAACAATATTATAAATTCGATAAAAAGATCAATAGAAATTAAACTAAATAAAGTTGTTTAATGGTTAAATAATAAAATATATTAGATTATGTAAAGCATATGAAGGTATATGCTTATAAGATTCTAATTGATCTGAATAATAAACAATTATATCAATTATTAATATATAGAATTTTAAGTATTCATAAAAGTTATAATTATATTACTTTAAGTTTATATATATATTCATTTTTTATTTTTTAAGGTATTCTATTTTTTTTTTGTTTTTTAATTGCTAAATGAAGTAGTTCTTAAAGGGTAATTTTATTTCTTTTTAATTGAATTTTTTTAATTTAAATAAGGTTAATGTTAAGTTTCTTTTGTATTAGCCTATTATGATTGACTTAACAATATATTTAAATGATCTTTATAACATTAAGTACTAGAAAATGATGATCCTTTTTCCAATTTATAGTTTGATATATTAGTTCTTTTTTATTTTGAATGATCTTAAGATAAATTGTCTTAATTGACTTATTTTAAATAGAAATTAGAATTTATTTCTTTTGGTTCAGCTTACAAATAATAAGGATGATTATCATCTTATGGATCTAACAATTATTCTTTTGAAAAAAATAAATTGCTTTTTTAACTCAACAAAAATGATCTGATTAGTAATTATAAATATTTACCTACTATCATTTTATTAATTAGTTTATTGTTTAGTTTATATTATTTATGGATTAACATAAAAATCTTAAATCTTTTACATTTCTTATTTGTACTTTTGTTTACTTTGAATATTATAATCTCTTTCAAATTCACTTTATGTTCTATGTAATATTTCTGATTAGAAATCTCCTAAAGATAATAAATCAATATCTTAATGATTATTATTGTTTTAAGGTGACATATAAGAAAATTAATATTGGAATAATCCAAGATTCTTTTTTTTTAATTTAGTTTAAACAGATGCATTAACAGTATCAAATTAATTAGATATAATTGGTTTTTCAATTGAATCCTGAGATATTTTTATAGGTTAAGTAAAACTAGTTTACATTTCCATATCTTTGACTACTTTAGGTGAAATTAAAACTAAAGATTTATCAGTTTATAATTCACTATAGAGTTAAACTTATTATGGAGATTTAGTACTTAATTTAGTTGGAAAATGCTCTTCCTCTTCAGTTTATTCTACAATAGTTTTTTTTGTAATTGCATTTTATTAACATTATTTCAAAAATTATGGATAGATTTCTAAAATAATTTCATCATAATCATTTTTAGAATTATTTTTGTTTTTGATTATTTACTCTTAAGAAATTATATTCTCTTTTGATTAATTTTTAATAGAATTATTTCGAGAATGAGATTAACTTTATGGAGTATTTTTTTATATAATTTATTGATGTTTTTATTAATATAATTATTTTTTATCTGCACTTTGTAATTAATTGATTGAATAACTTTATTTTAATATTTCTTTATTATAGTAAAATTATGAGATAGTTGCATTTGCATAAATAGTATTTGATGGAGATTATTAATCTTAAGTAGTTTGATCAGAAGAATTCCTTTTATATTGTTTCAATTAAAAAGCATCTAATTTTTCTGTTATTGTACTTTCTTCTATTTTTGGTTATAGATTAATGACTTAATCATTTTATTTATTTTTTTGATACATGTTGTTTTTATAGATTCTATAATTGGAATCTTAAAGTTTAATAGATTCGTTGAATAAATTTCTTTCATGTGATAAAGGAATAAATGATTAAGTTCTTTCAGGAGTTTCTAAGTATGACTTTTTAGAATTTCTTTAATAAATTGACAATTATTAAAGTAATTTTTAGACTTTTTCCTTTGGAGTTGATATATGTATTGCTTCTTTATTTTCAGAAGATTATCTACTCTTACCAACACTTACATTCAGTTTTCCAGGTTTTTAAACTTATCTTAATTTTGAATGAATCCTTTTTAAAGGACTTGATCTTGTTGTACTCTTTGATCTAACAAATTTCAACTGATTCATAAATATTTATTTATAAACAAAAATACTATGTAATAATAGTGAATAGATTAATATATTATCAAATAATGGAATAGTAACATAAAGGTATTAATAGTTGTTGTAATTTAAGGGAATACAGAACCTGGAGAGATGAATTCTAGTTCATAGTAATTTTATAGTACAAATACTCTATTTTTAAATAATATTGGATTAAGTACAAACATTTCATCAAGTACATTGAGACACACATCACCTTAAATATCATTTCCAAAGGCAAATCGATTCCATACTCAATCTTAATTATAATTACCTACTAAATTAGAATTACCTTCATAATTAGGAAAAAGGTTATCAATATATATATTATGCATTAGATTCACATAATAAGGGTTTGGTAATAAAATATTATTTTAATATGAATGGTAAAAGGTCAATGCTAAAGAACTACCTAGTCCAGATAGATATTAAGTTCGTTAAGAACCAGGAAGTGATAAATTAAAAAAGTCTTTTGGTTTGTCTTGGGATGCATATTCTAAAACATACTTACCTTATAATAAACATTTATCACCAGAAGTAGCACGTTATCTACCAGGTAATTTATGAATTTCAATTAAAGGACCTGGAGAATATACTGTACGTTAAGATTTAGGTTAACACAGATATTAATTTCAATTAAAAGGTAAAGGGAAAATGTTTAATGATCAAAGAGAAAATGGAGTACCAGGACCTGAAGCATATCAACCTTAAATTTGTTTAACTGTACCAAATAGATTTTCTGTAAGATTAATGTATAAGTTTAGAAAATTTCACTTGGAATTGGGGAGAAAAAGAATCCATTTTAATCTTTTAGTTTTGCACCTGGACCTGGAAGATATGAGACAAATTCTGCATTTGATAAAGCAAGTAAGAAAAGGGAATTTATTAATAAACCTGGTGAAAGAAGACCTTTTATTTGAATTTTATTATTATTATTATTATTATTATATAATGATTAAATCACTTTAAGTTGATGAAGAATAAAAGAAACTTTAAAATAATAGTAGTGGTTAAGCAGATTAAATAAAAAGTATATTTTATCAAATAATTTTAGGTCCTGCTTCTAATTAATAAAGATTAGATAGTGGTCCAGATGTTCCAATTCAAAAAATGACTCCTTCAGCTTCTCCTTTATTAAGAAATAATAAACCTTTATTAGAGTCTAAATTAGATGAACCAGTTAATCCTGCTGTTACTCCTTTTTAATAATCTTCAAAGAAAATATAATTTACAGGTGTAAGATCTGAATAATGTATTTAAAAATCACCAGTTAAAAGAATACCATATGAGAAATATCATAGAAATGGGAATGTTAGTTTATAATAATTAAATTTACCTTAATTACCTGGATATAAATTAGAATTTGGTCCAATGTTTTTGATTATAATGGGATTATCATTTCCATTTGGAATACTTTTAGCATATATTAGTAGTGAATTTGATTCTGGTACATTTACATTTGTAAATTGTTGGCTTTTAATTGGATTGTTTACTTTATCATTAATTTAATAATTATATACTCATAAAAATGGTTTATGTAATTACATACTATCTAAAACTGAATTAGATTTTTGGAATGAACCAAAATTTATTAAAATAATGTGGGGTATAAGAATAGTATTATTAATTGTGAATTTATGTTTAACTATTTATTATGGTTATTCAGTATGGAATGATAATATTAGTGATTCAATCATATCAATTTTTGTATTTTTAACTATACTTACCTTTTGCAATATGATATTTATTATTTTTATCTTTTATGTAATTATTTTATATAATATAAGGCTATTATTCCAGTAAGTAATAAATAATTAGTAGTTATTAAAGAGAGAGTAGATAGAATTTAAAGAATGTAAGAAAATATTTAAGTTCCACTTTCATTTTAATTTTGTAATTAAATACTTGGAGTATTTTAACATGGATCTGAAGGCAATATCTATTAAAGCACTATAGCATCATAAAATTATTAAAAGTTTGTGAATGAAGTGGAAGATAGATAAAGAGATCTACTTAAAGTAGCAACTTCAAGAAATGATAAATTGACACATGATGCTAATGATTTTGTAAATAAATTGACTAAACAATTAAAAGAGAAAAAGGAAGATTAAATGAAAATTTAGAGAATGAGTAATCCTGGTATTGCACCTTTTGATATATTGGTTAATTATCTTTCTTTTTTCTTTATGTATTGTATAGGATTTCCTATATTCCTATATTTTGCAATGGCATATTAAGAAGTTAAAAATGAATATTTACCTATATTATTCTTTTTATATCCATTTAGTCTTTATGTATGGAAGAAATTTACTTTAAGTTTTTTTACAATGAAATAATTTGTGGATTATAATTATGAATCAAAAATAGTAATTTTAGGAGTAACTTCATATAGAATAGGGACTATGTCTGTTTAAAGATTAGGAGTAGGATATTTTATATAATTTTTAGTAATAAAATTTGTATGTAAAATTCTTTATTATTGGATTATTGTATTTGGATATTATTTTAATTTGGAATAAAGAAAATAAATGTATATGAATTATATTAGAGGAAGTGTTGTTGATAATTCATAATAAAAGAATAAATTATAAACTAAAAAAACTGGTACTCTGATTTAATCTACAGCTTAAGTAAAAGATAGAAAATAATCTCTTTATGAAGCTTAAGAATAAGAAACACCTTCTTTTTCTAAAACTGCTGCTAATTGGATACATGTTGATAATATTGAAAATATAAAAAAAGCATTAATTACAAAATAAATATTTGGATTTGTTTTATCAGAAGTATTTGAAATTGTAATTGCCCTTTTATTTGTTGTTTTGAGTTCAATTTTATATAATGAAAGGAAATAATCTACTAAATGGTCCACTTTTGATGTAAATAATGATGAACATCGAATATTTCAATTAGAAATTGGACTTGAGATACTAGTTGAATTTGCATTTTGTATAATTACAATTGGCTTTTATGTAAAATAATTAAAGTAACTATAAATAATTAATCCTATTTAGAATTCCTAACACATATAGTTTTTTTTAATAAATATAACATATTATAGGAAATGATGGATTAAAATCATTAATTTATGATTATTGTTTTGCAATAGTCGTATGTTTTTTAATAGTAGGAAATAAATTTGAAATTAAATGATTATTGATATATTTATATATTATTGTTATATTATTTCATTATTTAATGTATTGGACATTCATTTCTAAGCAAATACTATAAGATTTAGAATCAATTCCAAATTCTACTCATGTTCATAAAATAATTAATAATTAAACAACTAAAATCAATCATTCATTTCAATTAGATTCTTTCAAATAATTTTCAGCAAGTAAAATAAGATGTTAATCAACTCATGAAATAAATGATTAAATTGTTGCTTCCAAATATTAAAGATTTCATGATATAAAAATTGAATTTCCTATGGTGAGAAAAAGGAGACTTGCAAATATTTTATCCAATCCAAATGATTACTGTCGTAATTTTATTATATTAATTGTCTCTAGAAAGAATAAGACCAGGAAAAAAGGGAACTTTAGCTGGTACAATCTTAAAGAAATACAAGGATATTAGACTATCTAATCCTAATAATGATAAATTATTACAATGTTCATTCTCAACGTATTAAATCAATCAAATTTTAGATAAGAAATCATAACTTCTAGAAAATATATTCATACGATAAAAACTCAAACAATTATTAAAGAAAGATAACTCTCCAATAGCAGTTCATCCCCTAATGTAACTTCAACTCTAAGTCCAATTACTCCAATTGCACCCAAAAATTGTATACTACATTTGTTATTTAGAATAAAAATATATCATTCGTTCTAAACTAGGATAATCGGTTGATTTGGATAAGATTAAACACCCTCGACAATTATAACCTTTGTCGCATTTTTTAAGTTGTTCTCCTAGGACTATTAGACCAGTAATTGATAATCCCTTGCATAAAAAGTCATATTCATCCAATTCTATAAATTCATTATACATAATGAATAAAGTATATGGGAATATCACTAATAAATGTCTACCTAAATCAATATTCAAAAATAAATGAAATAATGTTTAAACTATATAAATAATAAATATTATTAAAGTATTTATGTCCTTACTCTACATAATTATCCTTTTGCAGATTTAGCAAATCAAAAATCTATCAACTTTAACTTTACATTATTACATTATTTTTAAATAATTTTAGACTCTATCCCTAAAAAGTATACCTTTCAAATTAATTAAAGACCTAAATTTGGCTAGTTACTTTAATAACTATTTTTAGTTTTTTTGTTTCAATATTTTGATTTAGGGTCTGCAAATTTAAGTTATTTTTAAACTTAAAAAGCCACTTATTTGAAAATTTTTATTTTGTCTTTGAAAAATTATTTTTTTTTATTTTTTTTTGTTTTAAAATTATTAATATATTACATATATTTATGTATGATGTCGAATCACTTCATAATATAGCTCTAGTTTTAAATTAAATTTTGTAATTTTTACTTTTATTATGGTATTTGCACTATATTGAAATGCATTATCAATATAAATTAATTAATAAAATATTAATAAGATTTAAATTTATGATAGTAATCATTTTATTACTTTTTTTTTATAAATGAAATATGAATTAAATCTGTTCTAAGAGGAGAATCTAATTCAAAATGTTTGTAGTCAATAGTACTTATCATTAATTAAATATTCCTGTAGAAATTAAACTTCTCAAGCCAAATAGGTTATTTATAATAATAAATAAATAATAAGAGATATATGAAGTTTATTACATAAAATTATTTAACATTTTTTTGTTATAAATATAATTAATATAGGATTATTCATTATATTAATTTTAATATTTTATAATAATGTAGAAAAATTTATTTTAATAGAAGTACATCTATTTTTTAATTAATTAAATTACAAAAGATGTTAATAAAAAGAAAACTTCATAATTATTTATTAGAATTCTTTAATATTTTGTAAGAAGATCATGAATGAATAATAATAGTTTAAATTCTTTAATTATTTATCAATAAATTCTCATTGTTAATCTTCATTTTATTTTTACCTAGCTAATTCAAAATATTTTTCAGCTTCATTTTATCGATTCTATTTTTATAATGCATTTCCTAATAATTACTTCTTTATTATACCTTTTTCTTAATAATAAAGTGCTTTTGAAGGATCTTTCTATATTGCTTCATCAAAATTTAATAAAGCTAAACTATTTTGATCAAGCATCTGAAACAATAAAGCTAAAAATATTTCTAATTAAACCTTTTTGATAATAGTAACTAGCCTCTTCTGGTTTAAGAGTTGAAGCTTAATCTAAATAATATATAGCATCATCATAATCTTATAGTTTTATTAAAGTCATTGCTAATTTCAAAAATCTCAATTACCTTTTTTAAAATAGAACTAGGCTTTATCTTTTGATTTAATTATCATTTGATCACAATATTGTAAAATTTATGAATAACGTTTGTCTTCATCTAAAATTATCATTTTTTTATTAGGTTATATTTCTTAATATTATTCATTCATAAAATTTTAGAGATCTTGCTGTGAATAGGGTGTTATTTCATTAGCGATTATAGGTTATTTTTGAACTCTTAATAATCAAATATAAATATACTGTTATTAAGGTTAAATGATTTATTTTTAAGGCTGATCATAGAAATCTGCCAATTACTATTAGATTATGGGAATGGGGGTTTCTTTAGACAACTATTATTATTAAGATCTACTTGAATAAAATATGATACTATATTGATTATTAGTTTTGAGTAATGTTATTTGGTTATGTGTCATTAAGGAAATTATCTAAATCTTATGCTAGTTGATTCGGAGTTTGATCATTTTTTGGTTAATTTGGAGCCTAATTTTGAGCTCTTAATTCATAATAACATATTGATACTATTGTTATTATTAATTTGAAGGGATTTCATTTTAATTTTAATCAGTAAGAAAATTATCAAAGTCCTATTTGAATTAATCTGGAGTTTGATTATTTAACTAATTTGTAGGAGCCTAGCTTTTAGCTCTTAAAATAATGATAAAATATTATACAATTGTTGCTATTCATTTGTCTATGGATCAGTAAGAAAATTATTAAAGTCCTATTTGAATTAATCTGGAGTTTGATTATTTAACTAATTTGCAGGAGCCTAGCTTTTAGCTCTTAAAATAATGGTAAAATATTACTATTGTTGTTATTCATTTGTTTATGGATCAGTAAGAAAATTATTTAAATCTTCAATCAATTAATTTGGAGTTTGATTATTTATTTTATTATTAGAAGTTTATATTTGATTATTATTTCCTAATTCTTAAGATTAGGAGGTGTTATCAGTTGGAACTTTTTCTTAAATTCTATCATAAAATGAATATAAAAAACAATTAATTTTGTTATTCTTGTATTTAATTTTCTTCATTGTTTTATTATTCAGGTATATTTGGATTTAATGGAACTTCAACCCTATTAAAAAAATGAGTAAATAAATTACTGGTTGTTAATATTTTGTTATTCTTTTAAAGATTCAAGAAATTTTATCATTTGTTACCATGCTTCATTATCTAATTTTGGTCTCAGATCAACAAAATATTATATTTAGTCTTCTTCAAATATTTCAAAATCTGAATTAGAATATATATATTACTTAAATTATATTGGAAAAGGGCATGATTTATTTCATCTTGATCAGCAAGTTGAATAATTTGAATTAATTAAGTAAAGTACTATTTTATCATTTATGCTAAAAAATAATAATTTAAGGTACTTTACCTGGCATTTCTTAAAATAATATCAATGATTATAGTCTTTCCTTTAAATCATAATTTAATTTAGATAAGGTTTATTTAACTTTATTAGAGCAAATTTCTAGCTATTTAATTAAATTGATAATATTGCAGTAGAAGTTATATGAACAATTATGATTAGCTTTTTTAAGTTCTTCATATACTTTATCATATTTTTAACTTAAAAGTAAGGCAATTACTAAATATAATTGTGAAATGAATACTTTTAATAAAATATGCCTCAATATTTAATTTATTTTTTTTAATAATCTAATCACATGCAGTAATAGCAAAATCGAAGTTTTCCAATTAAATTAAAGTTTGACCTAAAAATTATTAAATAAGAAAACTTTTTAATAGAATTGCATCAACACAATCATTATCAATTTTTAAAGCTTATTCTAAATTTTCAAGAGACTCTGAATATAGTTATGCATGAAATAATTCCTTACCTTAATTTATTTAGATAATATAATTTACCTTTTTAAAGGTAATTTAATTTTTGCTCTCTAACTTAATTATCTTCTGAAGAATATTTATTATCAAGTTCTTTTATTAACCTTTTATATTCATTCAATTTTTTTCTTATTTCAGCTAAAATTTACTAAACTTAATTACCTGCTTTATTATTATCTAAATCTTCTTTATATTTCTTGATTTTATCTAAATTTTTGACTATCTCTAAAAAATTTTGTTCTTTAAAGTATTTTTGAACATCATTAAGCATTTTACCTTCTTCTATATTTTCTTTTTATATATTGTCATAATATATTATAAATTCGTTAAGTATTTGCTCTTTCTCTAGTCTCATTTAATATTCAGGAGAACAAAATTCTTCAATGAATTAATTAAACTCTTCTCCAACAAGAGTATCGTCTTCATGGTCAGCATGTAATCCTTTACATTTTTCACAAAACAATTCCTCTTTACATTCTTCATTTTAGCATACACCAATATATTCAATATCAGGATTATCTTCATTTTTACATTCACACTATCCTTCCATATAAAATTAAATATTATTTATTCAAGTATTAAATGATAGAATTAAAACATATTACAAGTTTATTTAGAAATATATCTAATAAATCACTCTTAAATTACTATAATCTAAAGCATTAATAATAATAATATACAATTACATATATTATTTCTATTTTATATAATAATGAATTATTATTAAATCATAAATTGTAAGTATCATTTAGGTTTCTTTTCAAAAAAATCTTTAAAGATAAAAATTTATTTGATGGGGATAATTACAAATAAATATTATTATAAAATTATAGATTAAAATATATCATGGTAAAGGAATATCTTTTGTTACTGTTTTTCTTCTAGTGGTTGTCTAAACTTTGAAATTAAATATTTACTCTAACTTCAGTCTTTTTTTGTTATTATTTTAACATATCAATTTCATTTTCAAGTACAACTACTTATTATTCAGTTTCATTAAATTATTTATTTAATGTAATAAATTTAGTTTTCCATTAATTTTTCTCATTTTCCAAATCAGTTGAACTTGTAGTTATTACAACTTATGTTTATAATTCTTTCAATTATTTTTCAAGTTCACTATTATATCAAAATATATATTTACTGAATCTCTTCTTCTTTTTCATTACCAATCTTTTTCTCTTTATTATATTTTTCTTCCCATTCTTAAATCTATCTATCCCTTTCTCTGATTAAACGATTATTTTCAATTATCTATTATTCTTTTATTTATTGTGTTTTAGCATCTTCCAATCCTTAATTATAAGAATCAATCAAAAGTTTAGAATGTTATTATATCAATAAATTCAATTCAGTTAATTTATTCATTTGCTCATTGATGATAAATTACTACATATAATTTTAATGTTTATTACATATTACTTGCTTAATTCATCTAATTTATCACAACAAACATGTTCTCTTATTGTTGAAACATCAGGACTAATTTATGATGATTATACAGATTTTATTGAAGGTATCATTAAAGAATTTGTTTATTTATCACGAATAAGAAGTCCTTTTTCATATTATAGTTATTGATCATCAAATGCACCATTAACATCCTTATTAGCAAGTTCCCACTTTAAATAACCTTTATGTCTACTATATTTTGAATTCTAGAAAAGATTATAAGATGTTAGATACTGTAGATGGACTATCGTAATTACTCATAAATAATAATTTTATATTATAATAATAATAGTATCAAAGGTTTCTTAATGTGAGAGTTCCATATTAGTATGAAGAAAGAGTAGAGTTTTCTTTCATTGTTTCATAATTATCCAACTATAAATAATAAATATAAGATTTACTTTAATAGAATTGCTTCTTTGTTTTTTCAATGTATCTAATTCTGCATTAGATAACATTAATTATTCTTATTATTTATGATATTCTCTATTAAGATTTATGAATTGATTTTTCCAAGATTCAATTTCTTGATTTACAATAGTTATTTTATCATTATATTATTGTATATCATTTTGAGTTAATATTTTACATTTTTATTGATCATTTTCTTCTTATAAATATTTGATTTATTATTTATTTTAATCATTCTCTGATAATTTAATTTTTAATATATTATTTAATCTTTCAATTTCATTTTAATAAACAACATTCTTTTATTCTAATTCTTATAATTTATTGGCTTCTTATAATTAAAATTATGCTAAATATTATCTTAATTTTTCTAATTCTTCATTTTTATTTCTTAATTAAATTTACAATCTATCCATTTCTACATTAAACACTTATAATTTCTATTAATATTCTTTTAATTATTATGTATCTTATATTTTATATTTCAAATTATCAATTTCATCATTTCTTGTTTTTAATAAGGAAGTTACTCTATTGTTTTCATAATTTAATTTTTCAATCTCTTAACATTTTGATTGTATACTTTAATGAAGATGTTCAATTTCCTAATTCTATAAGGCTATTTTATTTTCATATTCTTCAATCTTATAATGATCATTCAAAGTTATTTATAATCTAGAAATACAATTTCTCAATTAATCATTCTCTTATAATTTAATTATTAATGAATTATTTAATCTATCATATTCTTATGCTAAATTTTAATATTTCATTTCATATTCTATATATTTTTAACATTCTTAAATTTAATTTTAATACATTAATATTTATTATCTATAATTATCTGTTTCCTCTTATTTCATTCTAATTCTTTGATTAAGATTATTGATCTCTTCATTTTACATTTTTGATCTAATTTCATACTCTTTATATTTTGTAGTATCCTATAAAGTCAATTATAAAGTCTATATAATTTATTATAGCTTTTATATTTCATCATTTTTATTTCTAATTTCATTCATAAATTTTTCAGTAATTTAATTATTTTCCCTATTTAATTAATCAATTGATTATTATTAATTAGTCTCTCGAATTCTTAAATCTTTTAGTTCAAATTCTAAATCTTTAATTCTTTTTGATAAGATTTCTATCTCTCTAATATAAGTTTGCTTTTATTAATCATATTCTTCAGTTTTAGTTTTTAAAATTTAAGTCATTTTCTCCAATTCTAAAGCCAATTAAGTTTAAATTGGTTATTATTAATGATACATTTATTCATATTTCTTTGTCTCTATTAATGTCTTTTATAATTAATTTAATTAAGATTAACTTTATGACACTAATACATTTAATCTTTATATTTCATTTTGCCAATATTAATCAGTTTCTTAAGAATTTCTTTTTAATCTTTCTAATTCAAATTGTTATTATTGAAACTAAAATATTTATTGAGTTAATTAAATATTCTTTTATTTTAATTATTCTAATTCATTTGAATTCTCTTTTAATATATTGTTCATTCTATTACATTCTTATTAATATTATTATAAATTAATTTCTAATTATTATATTCTATGAGTATCTTCTATATAAGTAACTCTTTCTTAAACATTTGATTTTAAATGATTCAATTCACTTTATAGATCTAAAATTAATTTATCTTATTATGAACATTTATTTCTATAGAATATTAATTCATCAGATTCAATTACTTTTTAAGGTTGAGAAGGTTTAATGATTTATTATTAACATTCCAATCTTATTGAAGGTTAAGATTATTATTAATTTCTAGTAATATATACTATGTTTGGACTTGTTATTATATCATTTGTATTTGATCTATTTCTTTAGATTTTGTTTGTGTCTTTGTTTGGTTCTAAGAATTGTTGAGTGGAATAGTATTAAGAGTATTAATCCATGTATTCGTTAAATATGTTTTTTATTGATAAATTAATTATATTGATAAATAATAACCAATATTGAATTTGAATCAACCTAATTATTGCTTATATGATGTTAATTCTTCTCTATTCTAATATATATTATATATTATATTACTCCACAAAAATGTAATATCAAATAAAATCCACCTGTACAAAATAACATTGCTCCAATAATGAATCCAATTATATCACTTGCTGCATTTGCTAATTAATAAACAGCCAATGAAGCTAAACTTTATAATTAAATTCTTCAATACTAAATATTAAATAGACCTCTTCCTAATAAAGAACTCAAAAATCTGAAATTATTATCCATAAATTCCATCTTTTAACCACTTGCAAATAGCATGATTCCAAATAATCTAAATATTATTTTGAATTTACATTAAGAAAAATGGCAAAAAAAATGACATAAAGAAACTAAAACTAAAACTTGAAAAAAGGATAGTTAATGATATTATTTATGTGACTCCAATCAATATCAACATTATAGAGGAAATTAGATTTGACCATTTGAGCAATTCAATAGTTGTTGGCATTATTATATATATATATTATTAATAATATAAATCTATATAATTTTTTTTATGTATGTATACATTAATTGTTATTTTTTTTGATAATCATTATTAAGCTTTATTTTCTCCCATATCTCCAGCACTTCTATTAGCTTTATGTCTAGATTCATAGTAACCAAATTCAGAAGGTAATCTATAGCTACCAGGAGCTGGTGTTCCAGCTTATTTTATATATTATATTTTCTTTACCTTTACCAACAGATCCAGTTCTTCTAGATTCTTTTGGAAAACTTCTAACATTCGAGGAATGGAATTTAGAAATGAAGTAATTACCATCCTATCATTATTATTAATATTACTTTTTAAATACCTGTTTTATCTATTGGATAAGTACCTGGTCCAGGAGCATATAAATTAGTAGCTTTAATATAGTATTAGAAATTTACAAAAATCTTTAACAAATCTTTTAGAATTCTTTGGATTGAATAATGTTGCACATGAATTATTGTATTTTGATATAGGATATTTTCCTACTGCATTAACTGCAGGTAAAGATTCATATGTTCCTGGTCCTGGTATTTCTTTGCTTGTCAAAACCATAAAATTTGTTTTTGGTCTCTATCTCATTGTATATCGAATATCACTTAAAGTAGATCCCAAATCATAGGTTCCAGGAGCTTTATATTAATTAATTATATTTACCTGGAGTTTTTAAATTTAAGTTTCCTAGAATACCTGTACTAGCCATTTTTTCTCTGCTCATTCCAAATTTGTTACCCTTCTATTTCTTTAAATTTGTTTCGACATCACTACCTAAGTTATATTATTATGGAGAAGGAGTTGCGAATGCTACTTTTGTAAAATCAGTTCTTAAATTAAATACTTAAAAATTACTTTGTTCCTTTTCCAATTCCTGCAGATCTCTTTTCTATCTGACTAGGCAAATCATAAAATGCTTTTCCACAACTATAATGATTAGATCAATCATGAATACTTAACAGGATTAGCTAAATTTCCAAATCTATCAGATTTAGAAAATGTCCATAAGTTCTTAGCTGTACTATTATTCAATGGAGAACCACATATTTATTAACATGTTGAAACAGTTATTGACATATTAAATTAAATAATATAAATATAATTAAGAATTCTTTTAATTATATGTTTAAATTATGAGTTTCTAATTATACACTTATATCATGCTTAAAGAGGCTTTTAAGATGTTTCAAACACCTACAATAATTATGTTAAATGTTCACTATTTAAACATGTAACATCTACTAAAGCTGCAGAAACTAAATAAGGATCTATATTAGCTGCTGGTCTCCTATCCTCAAAATACCTACAATTAATAATAGTATTCCGTACCCTTATCCTTATTCTTTTGTTATTATTGGTACTCTAATAGAACATCCTCTAGAACCATCACCCCAAGAAAAAGAATCATATCTACCTGTTTCATGTTTACCAGTTAATCTCAATTGATTATTAATTCCATATAACTTTATCATATCTTTGTGTTATTTCTCAAGTATTGGCATCAAATTATTAACAATATATTTGTAACCTCCTTCACTTCTAGTTGTTTAAGTTGAATAATTGCAATGTGCTCCACTACCATTCCAATCACCTTAAATTGGTTTTGGATCATAATTAATATCTATACCAAACTCCTCACCAATCCTTTCCAATATATATCTTGCCAACCACATATGATCACCAATCTCTATTCCTTCTGCTATTCCTATTTAAAATTCCCATTAAGAAGGAGCCACTTCAGCATTCAAACCTGCTATTTTGAGTCCAGCATTCAAACAGGCTCTTAAATGTGCTTCTGCAAGTGCTCTACCAAAATTGTTTCGTTCTCCAATTGAACAATAGTATCTCCCCTAAGGATAAGGAAAACCTCCATTTGGCCAACCCAGTGGCCATAAATGTGTTGTACCTGTTCGTTTAAATAGGAAATACTCTTATTCAATTCCAAACCAAGGTTTATGTTCTTTTGCTTTCTCCATAATCAAATTTGATAGCCATCTTAAATAGTGTAAATTTGAATACCTAAAATTATACCTTGCTGGTGTTTTTTTATCAGGTAAATATGTTTCACATAGGACTAATAGATGAGGATCACCTCTAAAAGGATCTTTGACCATACAAACTGGTTTTAGATATATTTCTGAAAATCTAGTAACAGCTTAATCTGTAGATGATCCATCATATGTCCACCATTCCAAATCATCAAGGTTTTTTATAGGATTCAAATACACCTTAATTTGATATAATTATGAACTTACTTTAGTTTTGGATCTCAATTTTTCTCCTGTTCCATCAATCCATATATATTCAGCCAATACATACTTACTATTAATATTAGTTGAGAATGGATAATAGTTAAAATCTCTTAAATTTTCAATAGTTTCTGTCATCTTTTAAGAAATTAATTTTAAAAGATATTCAAACAAAAACATTTGCCACTTAAGAATCCTAAATATACCATATTATTTTAAATAGTAAGTAAGTCATTATTACATATTAATTTTTATTATAATATAAAGACACTTTTAGAAAATTGTTATGATTTCTTAAAATTCATACATGAATAGCCTTTTTCCTGTTTAATTAATATTAATATTTTGAAAATTCAAATCTTTTTAATTCTTATTTATTATTATAATTCAATTTGTTATTCACAACAAATAACAAAGAAAAAACTATTCTTAAATTATTAGGCATTCTGTAAATAAGTACATATGATTTTTATAACATAATACTAGCAAATCTAGTTATGTATTTGTTAAAATTCTTTAAGATTTATAGAAAATATTAAATAGATTTAAAAAGATATCTTTTTGTTTTTTTAGATGATTTATTTTTTATAATAAATGATTAATACTATAATAAAAGGATATCAATAAAATAAGTAAAATGTTTTTGAAGAATTATATTAGTTGGGAGAGGGTTATTATTAATTATAATTATAATTTTATTTAATCTAATTCTATATTAATTAGTTGTTAATACAAAATATTTTATTAATTAAATTTATTATAAAAATGGATAGACAACTTAAATTAGACACTTAATTGAATAAGACTGCTTTTGATTTGGTTACCTATACAACAGTTGGTATTTGTATATATATAAAAACAAATTAGGATACTTTGTAGGAGTTGCTGCTTCTGTATTTTTCAAGAGAAGAGCATTTATACGTAATTTGAGTGCAGGTGTTTTTGCTGGATTTGCTTTCAATGAAAATCAAGAGGCCTTTAATAGACAGCTCTGAAATATTAAGATATAAAAATTAATATAATTTAATTATGACTACGAACATAAGTTGTCTTAACTTCTATAAGGGAAAATCTTTATTAATATCTGGTTGTACAGGTTTTGTAGCTAAAGTTATATTGGAGAAAATTTTAAGAGTTTTGGAAGTTAAGAGAGTTTATGTGTTAGTAAGAGCGAAGAAAGGTCAATCAGTGACAGAGAGATTCAATAAAGAGATAATCAATTCTTAATGTTTTGATAGGATTCGTAAACAAAAAGGAGCAGATTTTCAAAAATTTATTGAGGAAGTTGTGAAACCTGTAGATGGAGATCTAATTAAACCTCATTTAGGACTTAATAAAGAAATTACATAAGAGCTTATAGAAAATGTCAATATTATCATAAATAGTGCTGCCAGTGTTGATTTCAATTCTCCAATTAAGGTTGCCTTGGAAATAAATTATTATGGAGTTTAAAAAGTGTTAGAGTTAGCTAAGCAATGTAAACATTTAGAAAATTTCATTCATGTATCCACTGCCTATGTTAATAGTGATAAATTTGGGTATAATTTATTGTTGATTTACTAAGATTCATTGAGGAAAAGATCTATCATCCATAAAAAGATGTTGAATCCTTTGTTTCAATGTTATATAGATCATCTTAAAATTTTGATGAAAAATAATAAAAATTGGCATTAGACAAATTTCCAAATACATATACATTTACAAAGAACTTGGCTGAATAGATGTTAGCATAGTTAAGACCTCCGAACATGTAAATTACTATCATCAGACCAACAATAGTTGGATGTTCATTTAGAGATCCAATACCTGGTTGGGTAATATCAATTGTTATAAAAAGATTGATAATTTGGTTGGTGGTGCAGCAGTGATCTTTTTTGCAGGAATTGGTTTAGTGAAAATATATAAAGGGAAAGAGAATTTAATAACAGATTAAGTTCCTGTTGATTTTGTATCTGATATGACATTGGTTGCAGGTGCATATGAAGCAAATAAAAATAATTACTAAATATATCATTGTGGTACTAGTGCAAGAAATCCTGCTCCATGGAAAATGACTAAAGATACTTGTTTGGAATATTGGAATGCCAATCCACCAAGTGTAAAAGTTTCACCATGTACCATAGAGATTAATAATAATCTATGTTATTATAGATATATGAATTTTAAAAGAAAAATGGGAGCAATGGCTTTAAAGACTTTTGCTGATACATTTGGAAATCCATCTTAAAAGAAAAATGCTGATCGTTATCTTAAGGTAATTGATAAGGCTGATACAATTAATAAGACATTTAAACATTTTAATAGAAATGAATGGGTATTTTCTTAAGAAAATGTATTATAATTAATGAATTGTTTATCAAGAGATGAATAGGGAATATTTTTATTAGATGTGACTGAAATGGAATGGAGGTATTAATTATATAATAAAAAAATATTAGACCATATATGATGACATTTCATTATGGACTCTAAAAATTCATTTTGAAAGAAAATGTATAACCACCTGTAGATGAAGAACCAACTGATTTATTGAGATCTTGGAAGAGTGGAAATTTTACTGATTTAAAATGGATTGTAGAAAAATAAAAACTTCCAGTAGAGAATAAAAATTATACAATGAATGGTTTATTTAATAGATAGAAAGCAAAATTATGAAAATGGAAAAAAAAAATGTATATTTTGTATAAAAAATGATTAATATTTAAATTTCATTTTAATGAGTACATTTGAAAAAATCAAATAAGACTTGGATATCAAAATGTAAAATCAAAGAGAAAATATTCTTAAAGTCTTAAATGGCTAGTAAAAGGTATTCAATGCAACAGAAAGAATAGCTTCCTATACGTAATTTTATATCTTTTAAAATAGAGATATATATAATTTTATAGTTTAAGGTGAACCATAAGGACTGAAAATGTATGAACTATTTAAACATTATAATGACATTTTTTTAAAAAAATCAGAGGAAATAGCAAGATAAAGCTAGAAAATTGAGAAAAATTTTTTAGAAGAAATTCTGAATTAATATTAGATTTATGAAACTCATACAAGAATTTTATAATGTTACTTTTCTTATTTAGATCGTTCATTTGTTGAAATTTCAAATAATAATACTTAATACCCTAATTTGAAATAATAAGCAAGAAAACAATTTCATTAATTATTCTATAGCAAATTATTTTCTTTAATAAAAGAAGAATTCAAAACAAAATTAAAATAGGATAGATATTAAATAGATAAAGAAACATAATTATAATTATAAAGAGTATATAAAATCATATATGATATGAAAACATTTTAAGATTAATTTAATAAAGAATTAATTTAAAAAGAAATAAAAGAAGATAGTTAAACTTATTATTAATAATAATATAATACTTTTTAAACATTATCATTTTTAGATTAAATAAAATCATTAGTTTAATTTAAATAAGAAGAATTAAGTAGAATTAAATTAATATTTGGATGTGAATAAAGTGATCTATAAAAAGAATTAATTGATTTATTTAATAAATATGTCATCAATAATTATGCCTAAGAATTATATTCAGATAATAATAATGATGCTTTAAAAAATATAATATTTTAAGATTGTTATGAAGTATAATATCATAATATATATATTAGTAATTTGGTTAATTAGTATAATTTTTTGATCATTTTAAAAGTAATACTCATATTTTTGTAAAGAAATTTTAAGAAATAATAATATAATAAGGTATGGAAATCATTTAAGAAAGATAAAATAGAATAATTTAAACTAAAATTAAATAAGAAAAAGAGGATCAAGTAATTTATATTATTAATATTAATAGTAAAATAAATTTTTAGAATAATTAATATAATTATAATAGTCTTATAAGAAATTAATATAATAACATGCAGAAAATAATCAATTTTTATTAGCCAATTTACGTGTAGCTTTTGAAATTATAACAGCAAATGCTGATTAATATATTATTATGGAATCTCTATTATAAAAACTTCATACTTTTACTATTAAAAGAATAGATATATGTGAAGAAAAATAATTAAGTGAAGTTATGCAATTATTAGAATGTTTTTAAGCTAAAGATTTATTATTAAAAAATTATTAAAATAAATTAGCATAAAGAATATTAACACTTTTTGATTATCATTCTGATATTGACAAATTAATAATTGATCAATTTCGTAAGACTTTTGGACCTGAACATACTAAATATTTAGAGTCAATGATTAAAGATTATGAATAATAAAAAAATGAAGAAAAAATAACAATATGTGATATTGAAATTTAAGCTAAAATTCTATAAAAAGAATATTGGCCTGAAATTAGACCATAAATTAATTTAATGAATATATTAATTTTGAATTAATTGAAATCTGCATATAGATAGAAATTCAATTCTTAATAAGAAAAGAATTAATTGTATAACTTAATATAATAATATTTTATAGAGTAGATATTAATTGGTAAGATCAAATATCCATGATAGAATTAATGTTCAGAACAAATTAAGAATATAAAGTTATAATTGGAGTTGTAGGTGGTGCAATCTTGTTATAATTTAATGAATAAAATATACCATTAACTAGTGAACAATTATCAGTAAAATTTAATAATTAATATAAGTTATAAATTGGAGTTAATAACTAATATTTTTTAAATCAAATTAAATTATTAGAAAATAGAAAGTTACTCATTAAAGATGGATAGGCTTACAAATTTAATGAAGATTTCTCTAATCCTAAACTTAAATTTAGAGTTGGAATTATATTAGAATCATTTGTTGAATATTAATGTATATAAATTTTATTTAGAATTTATAGAAGAAGATATTTAAGGGGATAGAAAGATTGCAATTTAAGCAGCTATAGTTAGAATAATGAAAGGTAAAAAGACTTTAACATTTTAATTATTAATTTAATTAGTAAAAGAATAATTAAAGATGTTTAAACCAAAAGATTCAGATATAAAAGATGTCATAGAAATTTTAATGAATCAAGAATATTTGAGAAGAAATCAATAAAACATGAATGAGTTAATTTATGTTAGTTGAAATTAAATATCATATATTAATAAATATAAATTGCTATTTATTAATTAATTTAAATAATTCAATAATATAATCATATAAAATTATTTAAAGAATAAATTCTAATTAATAATTTCAAAAATTATGAGAAATAAATATATAGTAAATATCATAGAAAACCAAATCTATCTAATATTCTTTCTAATTCCTTTTAATTTACAGGTTTTGGTAAAAACTCAGACATACCTACTGCTTCTCCTTCTCTAAAATTTTCTTCAGTGTCATATGCAGAACACATTATAATGTGTGTTTGATCAAATGTTATTTTAAGAATCTAATTTAAATAATTAAATTTACATCTTTTGTTGCTTAAAAACCATTTATTCCAGGCATTTCAATATCCATAAAGATTAATGTATAATATTAACAATGTTTATCTAATTATTTCTTAACTAAATCAATTGCTTAATAACCATCATAAGCTTAATCAACTTTAATGTTATAATGTAAAAGAAGGGCTTTTAATGCTATTTAATTAAAAGGAATATCATCAACTATTAATACTCTTACACATTATTAACATAAAGGAGTAATAGAATTTTTTTGATTATTATAATCTTTATGCAGAAAATATTCTGGACTTAATGGTAAATCAATTCGATATGAAAAATTATCTGCCATATCTAAAGAACTTTCTGGTTAATTGGCTGGTAATAAATTGAAAAATTTGCTTTTTGTAGTTTTACTTCTTTTAGAAGGTGATTAAGGTTCATATTTAGAATTTTCAGATAATTATCTTAATAATGGTAAAACTTAACTACAATTACTACCTTCATATTATGACATTTATTATTTATAAGTGTTATTTTTAGTAGTGTATTCTGAAATCATAGGATTTCTAACAGATTCATCTCTACAAATAAATAAATTTTCTATTATAAAATATATTTTAGTTCCTTTATTTGTATTCTTTGATATTATTTCTAGAGTTCCATCATTTTTTTATACTAAACCTTCTACAATCCTTGCAGATATATTCAAACCTAAACCTAAACTTTTTTTAATTCTTGATCTATGTAAACTTTTACCCATAGAAGTAGTTAATACTTTCCTTAAATTTTATAATTATTCTGAACCAATACCTATTCCAGTATCTTTAACTTATAATTTAATAAAAGGATATTCTGTTAATTTTAATGAAAATACAATTTTACCACCTTATGGTGTAAATTTACAAGAATTATTTAATAAATTAATTAAGACTTACATTATTCTTTATTTATCTGATCTTATATTGCCAATCTTTTTTTCATCAAATTTAATTTATAAATCAATTTTCTTAGAATTACATTAACTAGAATATATATATTTAATTTCATCAACAATTTCACATGACTTAAATTCAAAATATCTATATTTAAATGTGTTTGATTACATGGCTGCATAATCTAATATATCATTTATTTAATGTATTAAAAATATTATTGAAATATGAACAAATTCAACATATTCTAAAAGTTTTGGATCCTTAATCATATCTTTAATTATGACAAGCATTTCTTAACTACTATTTAAAGGAGTTCTTAATTCATGTGAAAATGATTTAAGTAAAGAATTATGTATCTCCTTTTCTTTATTCATTTATTCAATCTTATGTTTCTTAGTAATATTCTTAATCTTTATAACTATAATTGGTTAAACACTCTCTCCTTATATTGCAGTTCTACTAACATGAACTTTCTATTATGATGGATAAGAAAGTTATTCTTATTATGCATTTGTCATATAAGTTGGTATAATAACAATTCTTAATTTTTTTAATAGACCTCCCTCTCCATTCATAATATGCTCATAAGTTACAGCATCTTTTCTTTATAAAAATGTTTCATTATAAGATTCTGAAAGACTACTTCTTTAATCAAATTCAGAGTTAGGTGATAGATTTTAATAAAATTAGTTAAGATATTTTTGTGGAAATAGAAATGCATCAAAAATATCTAATTCCATTTAATTTTCATGATAATATTTAAGAATTCTTTCAAAAGTAGCTTTATTCATTTTAGCCATAGATCTAGGAGGAATTTATCCTAATGGAGATTCATCATTTTCATGTAAAGAATTAGATATAATTATTTTTTTGAGACATTCTACAACTTTTTCACTTCCCTTTTAATTTAATAGTTTCTCACATTTATTGTTCATAAAAGTTACTTTTTAATTTTAATTTAGAATAACTACACCAGCTGAAAATATATTATTTATTATATTTTAAAAGAATGTATGTAAATGTTAATCTGATTTGTCAACACTTAGAGTTGAAACTTTTTTATTAAAACTTTTCTTTAAGTTCTAAAATTATAAAGAAGTTTTGATATTTTCATCAAAAGTTTTAGGTTCATTAAATAATGGAATATTTTATAATATGTCTGGCTTTTCTTTATATTATGAATAATGAGTTCTACTTTTTTTAAAAGATGCTCCTAATGATTGTCTTTTTGAATCTTGTTAGAAAAAAGTTATAAATTTTTAATTAAAATTATGTTAATCTTAAGACCCGAGGTCTTTCACTGAATTTTAAATTGCTTCTTTTTTTCTTTTTAATTCATCCTTTGCAATCAAACTTAAAAAAATAATTATCAATAGACAGCTTTCTATAATTGAATAATTTGCTTAAATAAATGTAATTGACATGGTTCTTAATAAAAAAAATATTGGAAACCCAAACTTTGACATTATTTAAATATTTTCTTTTTATTCCTTATTTGCATGTATGTAATTGATCAAAATCATCAAAGAATTTGTATGGTTTGTAAATGGATTATTCATTGGCATCCTTATGCTTGCCTCAGTGTATATGCAATTTTGGAGCAAATATAAGATTGCTGAAATAAATTTATGTGTATTTCTCTTTTCTAATACTATTATAGTAATCCGTATCATAATACTACTTAAAGAAAGAAAACAAAGGTAATATTCATAAGGCTTATAAAATATCCATGAACATATTATCCACCAAATGTTTTGGATGATTTGAGTATAAAACAGTATTTAATAATTCATAAATTAATGAAAAAGACTAATAATCTAATTATAGTATTACAAAAATATTAGCTTAAGTATTTATACTTTTAGATATTTCCAAAAAATGATGATTAATTATGAGAAAATATATTTTATTTTGAAATTCAATTAAAAAACTAGTTTTTCAAAGAATATCTCTAAATATTAATTATTAAATAATATATATATATGATAATTTTAACCTAAAGAATAATATATTATTGTATGTTTTAAAAATATATTATTAATGAGTTTGAAATTTACATAATAATAATCTAATTAATAAATATTAATATATTAATAATCAAATTATATATATTTATAGAGTGTATTAAGAATTAATTCCTTAATTAAATTTATATATAATAAATAATCAAGATAGTTATGATAAAAAAATGTAATTAGAAAATAATTTTATTTAATATAATTATACTATTTTATTTCAATTAAATGGTTTGATTATTTTATTGAATGGAATAAAATAATTTTTCAAATAAATTATTATAATGAAGTTGATCTTAGTTATCTTTGGCATTTTAGTAAACATGAGTAAATAACTTATATTATATTACTAGATGCACTTAAAGTTTATCAAGAATTAAGTGATTTGTCACTTATTCAATCATCTAATATAATGAAATGTTCAATACTCAATAAAATTGACTATTATTATCTTAGTCAATCATAACCAAGTGTCAATTACTAAATGAGAATTAGTGAATCTCATTATGCTGTTGACATTTTTGTTGATTTTTATTTAATAGGTGAATTCATTGATAAACCTATAAATATTTTACTAGACAACATCCTCATTGATTAATACTCAGTAAAGAATGATAATTCAGTACCTTTTTGTGATATGTAAATATTTTTAATAGTTCTTTTTAAATAGTTAACCAACTTAGGTTAGTACTTATTTCAAAACTTACATACATTATTAACAAGACTTAAACTTGGCATTCTAACTTGAGAATTCAAATGGTTTTTCATTAGGTATTAGAAACATTCAAATAATACCTAAATTATGCCATGAATCATGTACATAATGTGTGGGACCTCAAAAAGACTAATGTAGATCTTGTTATATAGGAGCATAACTAAGTAAAAAAACAAATGAATGTAAATGTCCTTCTATTACACCTTATTTAAGTGTATAACAAAATCAATGTTTAAAGAAATGTGAAGTGAGTGAATATTTTAATTAGAATCTTGATATGTGTATCTATGATGATAGTATTTAAATAATATATTATTAGAAATTGAATAAGTTTCATAATACTTTTGGAATAATTATGATTTCACTGGATGGTCAATGATAGAAAATGGAAAAACTTAATCATTATTAAATAAATTCTATATGAATATAAATGGAAAAATTGTTGGATAATTCTTTGTAAGTTAATCCATTAATTATAAATTTAATAATGCTTTTTATTATCAATAATTAAGAATAAGAGCAGATATTTACATATTTAAATCTTAATTGCAGCCTTAAATTTATGTTCAAGTAGACAAGATACAAAAACTTGTAACTCCATTACATTATTATAATGAGACAGAATCATATGGATACATTATATATCATATTGATTATATAATTGATGCTTTACCTATTTCTAATATTACTATAAGTGTTAATAGTGATGAAAACCTTTAATGGGGAATAAATTAAATTATAATCAATACAATAAATTGTTAAGCTAATTGTAATTCTTGTAAAAGCAAACTCATTTGTAATATATGCAAAGCTGGATATTATATATATCAAGGAAGTTGTGTTACTTCATGTCCAAAATATTCTACATTAGTAGATTAAGTTTGTAAGGATATTACAGAATAATATCCATTAACTACTTATTTATTAAGAGCTTTTGATGATAATATTATTACTAATTTTATTGTCAAAAATACAAGAAGCATCAACTCTTTTTATTAAAATCAATTTGGAACTTTTTATGATGGTATTAGATATTTTGGTGGATTAAAGGATAAGGGTAATTAATATTTTTAAAAGTAATTTAATAATTTACCACCTCATTATAAAATTCTTTTAGAATTGAATGTGATGACTTTTGAATTTACTCAATTAAATTCTTCTTCTAATAGTGTTACCATTTCTTTTGATAATTAATTAGCAACTAGAATCAATTCTTGGTAAGATCAAATTCAAATGATTAAAATAGAACAAGCTCATATAAAATAGAACTTAAGTCTTGTAATGATGTCTGTTTCATAAGTTGATACTTATTTCAGTTTTGGAATCTCAAATCTAAATATTATGATCTAAAGATGTTAACCTTTATGCAAAACTTGTATTGGTCCTAATTAGAATGATTGTACTGAATGGATAATTGAATAGAATTCATACAATCAAAATTGTAATGATGGTTATATATTTGACATCGAATAATAAAAATGTTTATTATGTCCTATGGGTTGTCAGAAATGTTTAGATTAAGTAACATGTTTGAAATGTGAAGATACATTTACATAATAAGGAAGCAGTTGTTATTGTTTGAATGGATATATTGATGAATTTACATTAGATTGTATAGGTATGTTATTTTATTATATCTTATTAGCAAATATAACTAATCCTTTATGATATAGTTGAAATTTCTATATTTATTTTGTTATAAAATTATTATATTAAATTTATAAAATATAAGAATAACTATTCAACAGATATTTTCATTCTTTTTAATAGTATCAATGAAACATAACTATATAAATATTAACATTATTATAAATATAATTATAATATTTATTCAAAATACTATTAATTATATTATAATTATTTAAAATGAATTAATATTAAATTAAAAACAAGAATAATTTATGATGTAATTTAATGATATTTTGAATATTTTATACATTTATTATCTCATTTAAATCCTTCCTTAGCAATTTCTTCGACAATTTTATTCCAATGTAAGTTAATCAAATTTGCAGGTTCACTATTTATGGTTCCTAAAAATGATCCAATTTCAGTTTTTCCTTAATCTAGAGTTGAGAATAATCCTTTATAATTAGTACTTACTATCATATCATGAACTTTTTTTCCACAAATTTAAAGATGAGTGATAATATAATTATCTTTTGAAAATGCATAGACGAATTTAGAAAATGCATTGAAATATGAATCTGTTTCACTAAGTTTAGGCTTAAATGTTCCACCATTAATCTTTTTAAATTCTCCTTCTTCAACCATTTCACAATAATAATATT